GTGGGTGTACACCCTGGACCCCATTCAAACCCATAGTGGCCTTGTCTCAGTTAGCTGAGGATAGTTGCAAGCAAGAATTTCACCATCGTTTGCAGCGGGGGTTGGCATTGTCCCCCACTCCTCCTGATGTCGAGGGTAAATGGGCGAGGTTTAGGACTATGGCTCATGCAGCTGCAATGGCTGCTTTGGGTACGCGGTCCAGACCTCCCCAGAGACCCTGGCTGACAGAGGAGGTGTTCAGGATAGTTGAGAAAAAGCGACAGGCCCACTCTCATCAGCTACAGCATCCCACGTTGGAGAATGAGGAGGCTTACTGCAGCCTTCGCTCGGAGGTTCGCAGAGCCGTGAGGCGCTGCAAGGACTGGTGGTAGTTGCGGGTTGCTGAGGTGACCCGCGATCACAAATAGCTCTTTACTCCATAAAAAAGTAACCTGCAGCACCATACCTATCACCAACAATAGGGGAAAGAACGGTGATCTAATCTACAACCCCCAGGAACCGGTTTTCATATTTGCTGAGCATTTCTCTGAGGTCCTGGGGGAGGGGAAATTATTCTGCCTGGAAAACATCATGGGGCAAAGTGGGGATGACCCTGCTGAGGCTGCGGTGCCTCAAATATTGGAGGAGGAAGTCACTCCCTGTGAGTGGCTGGCTGAGGTGCCATCCATTGAGGCACCGGGCAGAGATGATCTCCCAAGCGAAATGCTGAGGGAGGGTGGCGTTTGTGCACACACTGCCCTGCATGACATCATAACAACAGTCTGGACCACTGGACGGGTTCCATAGGATTGGAAGGATGCCCTGGTGGTCCCCCTCTTTAAGAAGTGGGACTGCACAGACTGTAACAACTACAGGGGCATCTGACTCCTCAGTGTGCCGGGAAAGGTCCTGGCAAGGATTATTCAACATCGCCTTGCTAGGCACGCTGAGGACTGGTTTTAGACCAGGGCGGTCCTGCACAGATGCCATATTCTCTGTTCGTCTGCTACGGCAGAGGTGTAGGGAATTCTAACAAGACCTACATCTCTGCTTTATTGACCTGGTCAACGCTTAAGATACCATCAACAGGTCAGGGCTATGGGCAGTTCTTCATGCCTCAAAACTCACAATCATTAAGGACCTTCCTGATGGTGAACAGGCCCGGGTAACACTACGTGGCCGGGAGTCAGAGCCTTTCCCTGTACACCTTGGGGTGCGACAGGGATGTCCTCTGGCTCCCACATTAATTAACATCTATTTTGACAGCGTAGTTCGTGAAGCTTTCAATAGCTGTACTGGGGGAATTTCCATTTGGTACAGATATAATGGGAGGCTGATCGATGCCCGGGTGTGATCAAGGGATGGCTCCCTATTGGTCAACCACGTTATTCATAATCAACGATTTTTGGGTTTAGATCGCGTTTATTTATAAATGTGTCGTAACCTTCCACCACCCGACACGACCAATCAGTAAAAATGTGTCACGTTGACAAAGACAAATAGTTCACTGCTTTAGCCCACCGGTGTGTTGAAGCAACAACATTTACAATTTGAGTACGACGTTTCGCTGGTAATTGCAATCAGCATCATCGGGCAATTCGCCAGAATGGTGAGGCTCTCCTGTGTCTCCCGTTCTTATATAGAGCAGCAGCAGGGTGACGTCATCATTAACTCATTAACTCATCAGGTGCAAAGATTCAAGGGGGGAGTGATTGTAATTATATACTAGATTAGTAATCAGGCTATTGTTACGATGCGAGTTGTAGATTAGTAATCATTTGGAATGTGTTTTATTGTGATTATGCTACATTAGTAATCAGTTAGTGGTTGTTTCCCTTATAAGTAATTGTAATGTATCTTATTTAATAATACGCTTCCAGGCCGCACTAAGCCTATAGCTGTCTGAGCGATTAAAGTTATTTCTGTTTCTCTCAATTTCAATCGATTCTCTAATTAGTCTTTGCCAGTAGTAACTAGTTTTACACAACACTTCCACGTTGTCAAAATCAATTGAGTGTCCCTGTTGGCATGCATGTTCTGCTACTGCCGACAGTTGTGTTTGTGATAGTTTAATATTTCTCTGGTGTTCTTTTAGTCTTACACTAACGTTACGCCCTGTCTGTCCAATATAGCATCTACCACATACACAAAGACTAATTAGAGAATCGATTGAAATTGAGAGAAACAGAAATAACTTTAATCGCTCAGACAGCTATAGGCTTAGTGCGGCCTGGAAGCGTATTATTAAATAAGATACATTACAATTACTTATAAGGGAAACAACCACTAACTGATTACTAATGTAGCATAATCACAATAAAACACATTCCAAATGATTACTAATCTACAACTCGCATCGTAACAATAGCCTGATTACTAATCTAGTATATAATTACAATCACTCCCCCCTTGAATCTTTGCACCTGATGAGTTAATGAGTTAATGATGACGTCACCCTGCTGCTGCTCTATATAAGAACGGGAGACACAGCAGAGCCTCACCATTCTGGCGAATTGCCCGATGATGCTGATTGCAATTACCAGCGAAACGTCGTACTCAAATTGTAAATGTTGTTGCTTCAACACACCGGTGGGCTAAAGCGGTGAACTATTTGTCTTTGTCAACGTGACACATTTTTACTGATTGGCCGTGTCGGGTGGTGGAGGGTTACGACACATTTATAAATAAACGCGATCTAAACCCAAAAATCGTTGATTATGAATAACATTGGTCGCGAAAGCCTACGTGTTAAACCAATCACGTTATGTACGCCGATGATTTGGTAATAGCTGCTCATTCAGAAGAGGAGTTGGAGACGCTGCTGCTAAGACTGGAGCGTGCCACTAAGAGGTGGGGCCTTACCATCAGCCCCACCAAAACTAAGCACCTGCCTGGGTATTTTGTACCATCGGACACTCCACCCCCACAACTCCCAATCGGTGATGGGGCAGTTGTGGAGAGAGTGGAGAGTTTCCCATACCTGGGCAGTGTGCTTATGACCGGCTCCAGTTTAACAGCAGAGGTCTCACTCGGAATCAGTCGAGCGGCAATATCTTTTCATCGGTTGCGTAACGCTGTGTGGAAACTACCTGGTCTGTCGCTCCGCACGAAGCTTCAGGTCTTCTCGGCCACAGTTATTCCCTCCCTTCTCTACACTTGCGAAACGTGGACCCCCCTAATGGAGCATCTTCGCTGGTTGGAAACATTTAGGATGGCCTGCCTACGATCCATCCTGGGTTGTTCGGCCGGATCGAGGGGGCTAAACGGGCGCGGCACGGGCTAAAGAAGAGATGGAGTGATGTGGTACAGGAGGACGTGGAGCTGAGTGGACTTGCCGATGACTGGTACCAGCGGTGTCAAGATCGGTCTCTGTGGAGGAGGCTCGTGAAGGACGCTACTGGGCAGTTGGAGGCAGTCGCCCTCCAACAACAACGGAGGGCGGAGGCGCGACACTCACAACAACGAGCGGAGCGCCGGGTGGCTAAAGCACAGCAAGTTGGTACAGTAGCGGGCACAGGTGGTGCATCAGCCGGTGCATCAGCCAGTCATCTCGGTCAGTCGACCGGTGGCAACTGGGTCTGCCCCGTGACCTCCTGCCAGTGGGCGTTCGACACTTCACATGGCCTCAAGGTGCACATGGCCTGGCACAAGCGTCGTGGTGATGTCACCGCCACTTAGTCGCGAATGGCGGTTGTTGTTGTTGTGTGTCTATGTGTGTATGTGTCTATGTGTGTGTGTCTATGTGTGTATGTGTCTATGTATGTGTGTAATAAAGGTCGTGGAAGCGACTTCTGGAATCCGGTCTTTATTTGTCTTTCTTTACAACACTCCTTCACGCTGCTGACAGACAGCGTGAGAGGGATAGAGAGAGAGACGCGCGCGGCCACGTGGCAGCCTGGACCACGTGGCAGCCTGGACCACGTGGCAGCCTGGACCACGTGGCAGCCTGGACCACGTGGCAGCCTGGACCACGTGGCAGCCTGGACCCCGCTCCCGCGTGGCCTCTCCCTCCGTTCGTCCCAGTTCTGACCACGTGTTGTTCGTCTCCACCCCTATTTAATACCCGGGTCACGTGGTACCTTTCCACCAATCCTGGTTAGCCTCTATGGAATCTTCCAGACTCCACCGTACGCTCCCGGGACCACGCCCCTGACTCGTCCCCCCATTGGCTGTGGCTAAAGCCAGCAGATCCAATCCTCTACTTGCAGCTGTCACCTTCCCGTGACGTCAGGGCCACGCCCCTAGGCTTCTCCCCATTGGCTATGGACCAGGACCGGCAGAGCCAATTATCGTAACGAGGTGTGATCCGTCAGCGACCCGGATATATCCTCACATTACGTGTGTGTGTTTCTATGTGTGTGTGTCTATCTATGTGTGTGTCTATGTGTGTGTGTGTCTGTGTGTCTGTGTGTCTATGTGTGTGTCTGTGTGTGTCTATGTGTGTATGTGTATGTGTATATGTGTATGTGTCTATGTGTGTATGTGTGTGTGTGTGTCTGTGTGTGTGTCTATCTATGTGTGTGTGTCTATGTGTGTGTGTACGTGTGTGTGTGTGTGTCTATCTATGTGTGTGTCTGTGTATGTGTGTCTATGTATGTGTGTGTGTGTCTGTCTATGTGTGTGTGTGTGGGGAGCGGTAGTGTAGCGGTTAGCGCGCTGCGCTATGAACCTGGCGACCCGGGTTCGATTCCCGCTCACGGCTAACACCATGTAACGATTATCTGAACCGGTCCCGGGCCTCCCCTAGGTCGACTCAGCCTTAAATGAGTACCTGGTGCGGTGGGTAAACATCGCCACTGGGGGGACAAAGGCGGTTGGGCGTGGTGCTGGCCACCCACCCCCTCGTTCGTGTACCGTTCCGGCCTTCATAGGTGCTCGCTAACAGCACTTGCCCCTACAGTCTGTTAAGGCTATACGGGGGATCTTTGTCTTTGTCTATGTGTGTGTCTATGTGTATGTGTGTGTCTATGTGTATGTGTGTCTATGTGTGTCTATGTGTGTGTACGTGTGCGTGCGTGCAGGTTTGGCAGCCACGATTCGGGCCTGGCCTTCATGAACGACTTCCTGGCGGCCTCCGGCCCCGCCGCTCGCCGGCTCCTCTCCGACGTCTCGGCGGGAGACGGAGCCGGCGCCGTGGCCGGCTTCGACGGTTACATCGACCTGGGCCACGAGCTGGCCACCCTCCACATCCTCCTGCTGGAGGTCACCCAGCACCTGGACCAGGTGGGCGGGAGGAGGATGGGAAGATGGGAAGATGGGAGGATGTGAGGTTGGGAGGATGTGAGGATGGCAGGTTACATCGACCTGGGTCACGAGCTGGCCACCCTCCACATCCTCCTGCTGGAGGTCACCCAGCAGCTTGACCAGGTGGGCGGGAGGAGGATGGGAAGATGGGAAGATGGGAGGATGTGAGGATGGCAGGTTACATCGACCTGGGCCACGAGCTGGCCACCCTCCACATCCTCCTGCTGGAGGTCAGCTGGACCAGGTTGGGGGGAGGGAGGGTTTGGGGGGGATGTAGTGGGGAGGAAGGGAGGGATGAGGAGGGAGCGTAGAACAACGTGGAGCCAACACTCCCTCTCTCTCTCTCCCCCTCTCCCCCCCTCCCCCCTCTCTCCGTGCCCCCCCCCCCCCCCCCAGGCGACGTTGTCCCTGCTGGGCCCGCTGCCCCACATCCTGGCCGAGCTGAGCGCCGCCCTGGACAGCCCCACGCCACCACCACCACCACCACAGCAGCAGCAGCAGCAGCTGCGGCGTCTGTCCGGACGCTACAGCTCCACGCCAAACATCAACGGAGGTGGTGACGGTGGTGGCGGTGGTGGTGGTGGTGGTGGTGGTGGCGGTGGTGGTGAGAGCGGAGTCAGCAGTGTTCCCTCCGGCCTGCAGCGCATCTTCGAAGAGGAGGGGGGTGCAGGGAATGATGAGTGGAGAGGGTAAGGAGACACCACCACCAACAACCACAACAACCACCACCAACCACCAAACACCACCAACCACCAAACACCACCACCAACCACCAAACACCACCACCAACCACCAAACACCACCACCAACCACCAAACACCACCACCAACCACAACAACCACTAACACCAACCACCAAACACCACCACCACCAACCACAACAACAACCGCCATTCGCCACTAAGTGGCGGTGACGTCACCACGACGCTTGTGCCAGGCCAAGTGCACCTTGAGGCCACGTGAAGTGTCGAACGCCCGCTGGCAGGAGGTCACGGGGCAGACCCAGCAGGTGCCACAGGTTGACTGACTGAGATGACCGAGATGACTTGCTGATGCACCACCTGTGCCCCCTACTGTGCCAACTTGCTGTGCTTTAGCCACCCGGGTAGCCGTTTGCGACCCTGGTGCGGCCGGGTACGGGTACGACAGACCTGTTCTCTACCTGAGGATGGCTGCTTGCGTTGTGGCCGAAACGTCGTGAGAATTATGTTATTATGTTTGATTTTTATTATTTTATTATTTCCATTCTACGTGACTTTACCGAAAGAACCAAGAAGATGAATCAAAACCCGTTTGCGACCTCTGCCGTGAGCTCTCTCCGCTACCCGGCCACGCCTCCCTTCTCGAACCTTCTCGGAGGATACGGTGATGATGTCATCCCACAGCTCCGCCTCCTGGGGTCTGGGGTCTGCCCCCTTTTACCTGCTGTTACTCAGGGTAACCGTTGGGCCCTATGGCCCATAGACTCTCAGCATTGGGGCTCAGCCCCTCTGTCGCCCCCTATTGGCGTGTGGCCGGTATTGCCGGCAACTGCATGGGAAAGGCGCTTCTTGGCACAATGACACTGATACGCAGACGCCATGAGGGGAATGGCCAATCTACATTGGCCCTCTCCCCCACCACGGCACTGCCCACCACAGCGTTGCCTGTCCGGCACCACGAGGAGGTAGGGGGTTGTTTTGTTGGACACACAAACGCACAGACACACATAGACATACAGTTACACTTACAACAACAACCGCCATTCGCCACTAAGTGGCGGTAACGTCACCACGATGCTTGTGCCAGGCCATGTGCACCTTGAGGCCACGTGAAGTGTCGAACGCCTGCTGGCAGGAGGTCACGGGGCAGACCCAGCAGGTGCCACAGGTTGACTGACTGAGATGACCGAGATGACTGGCTGATGCACCACCTGTGCCCCCTACTGTGCCAACTTGCTGTGCTTTAGCCACCCACCAACCACAACAACCACTAACACCAACTATCACCACCACCAACACCCAACCACCAGCACTAACACCAACCACCACCAATCACCAACAACAACATCAACAACCACCGCAAGCCCCTCCTCGGCGTGCCTGGCAAGGCGATGTTGAATAATCCTTGCCGGGACCTTTCCCGGCACACTGAGGAGTGAGATGCCCCTGTTGTTCTACCTGATGACGATTGCTTGTGTTGCAATCGAAACGTCGTATTATATTATTTAATTTATTTTATTTCTACGTGACTTTAGCGAAAGAACCAAAGAGTATTTCCTGCCGTCAAGAAAGCTTCAAATCCTCCTGCCGTTGTCGTTGAGCTGATCTGGCCCATGCCTTCCAATCACTCCAGACCAGGTGCCAGCATCATGGCCAACTCGGGCATTGAAGTCACCCAACAAGATTACTCTATCTCGAGTGGCCACTTTAGCCAGCACCTGTGACAGGAGGTCATAGAAGGCATCTGCCTCATCGGCCTTGCCTGCATCCCTCCACGGCATATGTAACCACGACCACCACTCCTCGCCTCCGGTTGATGGGAAGGCGAGCCCAAAGTAGCCTGGGGCTTACAGCTTCCCAGACCTCACCGCCACGCTCCCACGCCCCCTTGATTATTTTGTTCAGAAGAAGAGCCACTCCCTGTTGTTTGGCAGTCTCCTGCCCTGAGTAGAGGACTCTCCACCCCTCATGGTGGCAGGGGCCAGAGCCGGTCCACCGGACCTCCTGAATGCCACAGAGATCCAGGCGGTACTGGTCCAGCTCCCGACAGAGGAGTGGCAGCCTCTCCTACGCAGTGAGCGTTCGAACATTCCACGTGACCATCCGTAGTGGTTTTGTGTTGTTTCTGGAGGAGCCCCGAGGGTAAAGATTCAGTCTCCTGGCTCCGCCAAATGGGGTTTGACCAGGAGACGTCATAGACGCCTGTCCCCCCGGGGCCTCCGGCACAAACTTCGTTCGATATTTTTCAGACGTGGTTTAGCAGTAATTAATTGAAGGTGGAGGGGTTACCAGCCCCTCGCACCCATCCAGAGCCCCCATTTGGCCGCTGTGGTGGCTACAGTTGTAGTGGGTTGAATAACTAGAGGAGAGCTTCTCTGAGGCAACTCAGTTTTTGTCTACCAATTCACACTTAACACAGAGAGGTAACGGCCCCTCACACCCAATACCCTATGGAGGTTACTCTCCAGACTACTACGCCCCTCACTGGCTAATATACAAGTCCTCCGTGAGTGAAACTTGAATTTTCACTGGTATACAAGCTGGAGCCGACCCTTGCCAGGGCTACGAGGCTTTTTGTCTGGACGTCGACTGCCTGGGACCGTTCAGAGGTCCGGCTTTTATACAGAGCCGTGAGCCAGAGGTCGCAACCGGGTACCCGATACCCGTACCCTACCCGATACTTGGCTACCCGTACCCGGCCGGGTACGGGTACGGGTAGCTGTTTGCGACCCTGGTGCGGCTGGGTACAGGTACGACATACCTGTTCTCCTCCTGAGGACGGCTGCTTGCGTTGTGGCCGAAACGTCGTGAGAATTGTATTTTATTATGTTTTATTTTTATTATTTTATTATTTCCATTCTACGTGACTTTACTGAAAGAACCAAGAAGATGAATCCCTGCAGTCACGAATGAAGCTTTACATCGAAATTCTTGCCAATGTCGTCCCCCCTCCTTCCCTCCGGCCTAGGGGCGACTTCCCCAGGAAATCCTCCACCACCATCACCACTCAGGAAAATGACGGTGGTGGTGGCGGCGGTGGCGGCGGTGGTGGCGGTGCTGGTGGTGGTGGTGGCGGCGGCGGTGCTGGTGGTGGTGGTGGCGGTGGTGGCGGTGGCGGTGGTGGTGCTGGTGGCGGTGGTGGTGGATCGTTCTACCGAGCGTCGTCATCCCAGTCCCACCTGGCTCCCACCGCCGCCGCCGCCGCCGCAAAGAGCGACGGGATGTCCCGCTCACTCCACCACGCCTCCACCTCCTCCTCGTCCTCTTCCTCCACTCATCATCATCAGCAGCAGCAGCATCAGCAGCAGCAGCATCATCAGCACCACGCGCCGCGCTGGAACGGCAGCAAAAGCCTCTCGCTGCTTGACCTGCAACAGCCCGAGAGGCACACGGCCGAGAGAGCCGCGGACGAACGCTCCTGGACCACCACCTCTGACCACCACCACCACTACAACAACCACCAGCACAACCAACAACAACAACAGCAGCAGCAGCAGCTGCTGCTTCAACAACAACAGCAGCAGCAGCAGCAGCTCCAACCGCTGTCCTTTCAGAACCCGCTCTTCAACTTCTCGGCAATAGCTGCACAGCAGAGGGGTCGTGACGGTGGTGGTGGTGGTGGTGGTGGCGGCGGTCGTGGTGGTGGCGGCGGTGGTGGTGGTGGTGGTAGGAGAAGAGGAGACTCGGAGGAGGTGACCAAGCACCACACGTACAGCGGCACCGAGGACTTGGTGAGACGGGGAGGTGCGGTGATGCAGCAGCAGCAGCAGCAGCTGCAGCTGCAGCAGGGAAAGATCAACAGCCTGGGGCCGCAGTGGCGAGCGGAGGGTGAGTGATTATTATGACGATGCTGATGCTGCTGATGCTGCTGATGCTGCTGCTTCTTCTTCTACTGCTGCTTCTTCTGCTACTGCTGCTTCTACTGCTGCTTCTACTGCTGCTGATGCTGATTCTACTGCTTCTACTGCTTCTGCTGCTGCTGATGCTGCTGATTCTACTGCTTCTACTGCTGCTGCTGCTTCTGCTGCTACTGCTGCTTCTACTGCTGCTTCTGCTGCTGCTGATTCGACTGCTTCTACTGCTTCTACTGCTGCTTCTTCTACTACTACTGCTTCTTCTACTACTGCTTCTACTACTACTGCTTCTACTGCTGCTTCTGCTGCTGCCTCTGCTGCTACTGCTGCTTCTACTACTGCTTCTACTACTGCTTCTTCTACTACTGCTTCTACTTCTGCTTCTACTGCTGCTGCTGCTACTGCTGCTTCTGCTGCTACTGTTGCTTCTACTGTTGCTGATGCTACTGCTGCTTCTACTGCTGCTTCTACTGCTGCTGATGCTACTGCTGCTTCTACTGCTGCTTCTACTGCTGCTGATGCTGCTGCTGATGCTGCTTCTGTTGCTGCTGCTGCTACTGCTTCTCCTGCTGCTACTGCTGCTACCACATAGTCTATGGGTCTTTATGTAGACCCATAGTGAGACAGAGAGAGACATAGTCTATGGGTCGCTCTCTCTGTCTCTCTGTATCACTACGGGTCTACATAGAGACCCACGGAGACACACACACAGTCTGTGTGTCTCTATGTATCTCTATGTGTCTACATAGAGACCCACAGAGACCCATAGACATCCACAGAGACCCACAGAGACCCACAAAGACCCATAGACATCCACAGAGACCCACAGAGACCCACAGAGACCCACAGAGACCCACAGAGACTCACGAGGTTCCACAGATACCCACAGAGACCCACAGAGACTCACGGGGTTCCACAGATACCCACAGAGACCCACAGAGATCCACAGAGACACACAGAGATCCACAGAGACCCACAGAGATCCACAGAGACCCACAGAGATTCACAGAGACCCACAGAGACCCACAGAGACCCACAGAGACCCACAGAGATCCACAGAGACCCACAGACACCCACAGAGACCCACAGAGACCCACAGAGACCCACAGAGACCCATAGAGACCCACAGAGACCCACAGAGACTCACAGAGACCCACAGAGACCCACAGAGACACACAGAGACCCACAGAGACCCACAGAGACCCACAGAGGCCCACAAAGACCCACAGAGTCCCACAGAGACCCACAGAGACCCACAGAGACATAGACCCACAGAGACCCACAGAGACCCACAAAGACCCACAGAGTCCCACAGAGTCCCACAGAGACCCACAGAGACCCACAGAGACCCACAGAGATCCACAGAGACCCACAGAGATCCACAGAGACCCACAGAGACCCACAGAGATCCACAGAGACCCACAGACACCCACAGAGCACCCACAGAGACCCACAGAGACCCACAGAGACCCACAGAGGCCCATAGAGACCCACAGAGACCCACAGAGACCCACAGAGACTCACAGAGACCCACCGAGACCCACAGAGACACACAGAGACCCACAGAGACCCACAGAGACCCACAGAGACCCACAGAGGCCCACAAAGACCCACAGAGTCCCACAGAGACCCACAGAGACAGAGACCCACAGAGACCCACAGAGACCCACAAAGACCCACAGAGTCCCACAGAGTCCCACAGAGACCCACAGAGACCCACAGAGACCCACAGACACCCACAGAGACTCACAGAGACCCACAGAGACAGAGACCCACAGAGACCCACAGAGACCCACAGAGACCCACATAGACACACAGAGACCCACAGACACCCACAGAGACCCACAGAGACCCACAGACCCACAGAGACCCACAGAGACCCACAGACACCCACAGAGACCCACAGACCCACAGAGACCCACAGAGACCCACAGAGACCCACAGAGACCCGCACACTAAACCATGAACTCTCATGTAGTTTCTAAGCGTCTAACCTCCGTGCCTTGGCCCTGCACAGACGCCGGTCCTCCCCCGGGAGGCAAGGGGGCCCGCCGGGGTCCGCCGGGACCCCCAGCGGGACCCCCCGAGGGGCCCCCCGGCTCGCAGGGCCCCCCATTTGGGGGGGCGGCGGCGGCGGCGTTGGTGCCGTTGGCCCGGCCACGGCAACATTCTGGGTCATCCAAGGGCGAGAGCCCCACCCCGGCATCACGCCCATCGGCTCACCGGGTCCCGGTGAGTGTTACAACAACAACATCAACATCAACAACAATAACCGCCATTCGCCACTAAGTGGCGGTGAAGTCACCACGACGCTTGTGCCAGGCCATGTGCACCTTGAGGCTACCACGTGAAGTGTCGAACGCCCGCTGGCAGGAGGTCACGGGGCAGACCCAGCAGGTGCCACGGGTCGACTGACCGAGATGACCGAGATGACTGGCTGATGCACCACCTGTGCCCCCTACTGTACCAACTTGCTGTGCTTTAGCCACCCGGCGCTCGGCTCGTTGTTGTGAGCGTCGCTCCTCCACCCTCCGTTGTTGTTGGAGGGCGACTGCCTCCAACTGCCCAGTAGCGTCCTTCACGAGCCTCCTCCACAGAGGCCGATCTTGACACCGCTGGTACCAGTCATCGGCAAGTCCACTCAGCTCCACGTCCTCCTGTGCCACATCACTCCATCTCTTCTCTAGCCCGTGCCGCGCTCGTTTAGCCCCCTCGATCCGGCCGAAAAGCTGTTTAGGCATGCGGTGGCTGGGCATGCGGGCTACATGACCCAGCCAACGCAGCCTTGCCTGCCGGAGGAGCTCACCGATGGGACTTTGCCCAGATCTTTCAAGGATTTGTGGACACGTGGTGTGACACGTGGTGTGACACGTGGTGTGGCACGTGGTGTGACACGTGGTGTGACACGTGGTGTGACACGTGGTGTGACACGTGGTGTGACACGTGGTGTGTGACACGCGGTGTGACACGTGGTGTGTGACACGCGGTGTGACACGCGGTGTGTCACGTGGTGTGTCACGTGGTGCGTCACGCGGTGCGTCACGTGGTGCGTCACGTGGTGCGTCACGTGGTGCGACACGTGGTGTGACACGTGGTGTGTCACGTGGTGCGTCACGTGGTGCGTCACGTGGTGCGTCACGCGGTGCGTCACGCGGTGCGTCACGCGGTGCGACACGTGGTGTGACACGTGGTGTGACACGTGGTGTGACACGTGGTGTGTGTGTCACGCGGTGTGACACGTGGTGTGACACGTGGTGTGACACGTGGTGTGAGACACGTGGTGTGACACGTGGTGTGACACGTGGTGTGAGACACGTGGTGTGACACGTGGTGTGACACGTGGTGTGTGTCACGTGGTGTGACACGTGGTGTGTGACACGTGGTGTGTGACACGTGGTGTGTGACACGTGGTGTGACACGTGGTGTGACACGTGGTGTGTGACACGTGGTGTGACACGTGGTGTGTGACACGTGGTGTGTGACACGTGGTGTGACACGTGGTGTGTGACACGTGGTGTGACGTGCGCTGTGACGCAGCCCGACTCCCCCGTGAGTGCCGCTGACCTGTCTCCGGTGGAGCGCACTGCCGCCTGGCTCCTGCACCTGCAGTGCAGCGACCACGACCCTGACGACCTCCACCACCACCAGCACCACCACACTGAAGACCTCCAGCACCACCACCACCATCAGCACCACACTGAAGACCTCCACCACCAGCAGCAGCAGCAGCAGCACACTGATGAGCAGCAGCAGCGCATCCTCAGGAAGGTGGGTGGGTGGGTGAGTGGGTGGGTGGGTGAGTGAGTGAGTGAGTGGGTGAGTGAGTGGGTGGGTGGGTGGGTGAGTGAGTGGGTGGGTGGGTGAGTGAGTGGGTGGGTGGGTGAGTGAGTGGGTGGGTGGGTGAGTGGGTGGGTAGGTGGGTGGGTGAGTGGGTGGGTGGGTGGGTCGGTGAGTGGGTGGGTGGGTGGGTGGGTGAGTGGGTGGGTGGGTGGGTGGGTGGGTGGGTAGGTGGGTAGGTGAGTGAGTGGGTGAGTGGGTGGGTTGGTGAGTGGGTGAGTGGGTGGGTGGGTGAGTAGGTGGGTGAGTGAGTAAGTGGGTGAGCGGGTGAGTGTGTGGGAAGGTGAGTGAGTCAGTGAGTGGGTGGGTGGGCGAGTAAGCCGGTAGGAGTAGGGGTGGCGGCGGTGGTTGTTGTAGTGGTGATGATGGTGACGGTAATGGTGGTGGTAGTGGTGGTGGTGGTGGTGACGGTAGTGGTGGTGGTGACGGTAGTGGTGGTGGTGACGGTAGTAGTGGTGGTGGTGACGGTAGTGGTGGTGAAGGTGACGGTAGTGGTGGTGGTGATGGTAGTGTTGGTGGTGATGATGGTGATGATGGTGGTGATGGTGGTGCTGATGCCCCCCCCCCGCCCCCGCCAGTACGAGTGTGAGCTGAGCGCGCTGCGCGAGCTGCTGGCGGCGTCGACGCGCCGCCAGCAAGAGAGCGCCCAGCGGCTGCGCCTGCAGGAGGAGCAGCGCGAGGCGGTGCAGCAGGAGTACCGCGCTCGCCTCGAGGAGAGCGGCGAGCGGCTGCGGCGGCAGCAGGAGGACAAGGAGGCGCAGATGAAGGGCATCATCAGCAGGTCGGTGGGCGGGTGGGTGACTGGGTGGGTGAGGGAGTGGGTGGGTGGTGGAGTGGGTGGGTGGGTGGGTGGGTGGGGTGAGTGGGTGGAGTGGGTGGGTGGGTGGGTGGGTGGGTGGGTGGGTGGAGTGGGTGGGTGGGTGGGTGGAGTGGGGTGGGTGGGTGGGTGGGTGGAGTGGGTGGGTGGGTGGGTGGAGTGGGTGGGTGGGTGGGTGGAGTGGGTGGGTGGGTGGGTGGAGTGGGTGGGTGGGTGGGTGGGTGGAGTGGGTGGGTGGGTGGGTGGAGTGGGTGGGTGGGTGGGTGGAGTGGGCGGGTGGGTGGGTGGAGTGGGCGGGTGGGTGGGTGGAGTGGGCGGGTGGGTGGGTGGAGTGGGCGGGGTGGGTGGGTGGAGTGGGTGGGTGGGTGGGTGGAGTGGGTGGGTGGGTGGGTGGAGTGGGTGGGTGGGTGGGTGGGTGGAGTGGGTGGGTGGGTGGGTGGAGTGGGTGGGTGGGTGGGTGGGTGGGTGGGTGGAGTGGGTGGGTGGGTGGAGTGGGTGGGTGGGTGGGTGTGTGAGTGACTGGGTGAGGGAGTGGGTGAGTGGGTAGTGACTGGGTGACTGGGTGAGTGGGTGGGTGGTTGAGTGGATGAGTGAGTGGGTGAGTGAGTGAGTGGGTGAAGTGGGTAGTGACTGGGTGAGTTGGTGGGTGGGTGGGTGAGTGGGTGAAGTGGGTAGTGACTGGGTGGGTGAGTGGGTGAGTGGGTGGGTGGGTGAGAGAGTGGGTGGGTGGGTGAGGGAGTGGGTGGGTGGGTGAGGGAGTGGGTGGGTGGGTGAGGGAGTGGGTGGGTGGGTGAGGGAGTGGGTGGGTGGTGAAGTGGGTGGGTGGGTGGGTGGGTGGGTGAGTGGGTGGGTGGGTGAGGGAGTGGGTGGGTGGGTGGGTGGGTGAGTGGGTGGGGAGTGGGTGGGTGGGTGGGTGGGGGAGTGGGTGGGTGGGTGAGGGAGTGGGGGTGGGTGGGTGAGGGAGGGGGTGGGTGGGTGGTGAGTGGGTGGGTGGGTGGGTGAGTGGGTGAGTGAGTGGGTGGGTGAGTGGGTGGGTGTTGGAGTGGGTGGGTGGGTGGGTGGGGGAGTGGGTGGGTGGGTGGGGGAGTGGGTGGGTGAGTGGGTGGGGGAGTGGGTGGGGGAGTAGGTGAGTGGGTGGGGGAGTAGGTGAGTGGGTGGGTGGATGAGTGGGTGGGTGGGTGGGTGAGTGGGTGGGTGGGGGAGTGGGTGGGTGAGTGGGTGGGGAGTGGGTGGGTGGGTGAGGGAGTGGGGGTGGGTGGGTGAGGGAGTGGGTGGTGGAGTGGGTGGGTGGTGAGGGAGTGGGTGGGTGAGTGGGTGGGGAGTGGGTGGGTGAGTGGGGGAGTGGGTGGGTGAGGGGGTGGGGAGTGGGTGAGGGAGTGGGTGGGTGGGTGAGGGAGTGGGTGGGTGGGTGAGGAGTGGGTGGGTGGGTGGTGGAGTGGGTGGGTGGGTGGTGGAGTGGGTGGGTGGGTGGGTGGGTGAGGGAGTGGGTGGGTGGGAGAGGGAGTGGGTGGGTGGGTGGTTGGGTGGGTGGGTGGGTGGTTGGGTGGGTGGGTGCGTGAGGGAGTGGGTGGGTGGGTGACTGGGTGGGTGGGTGGGTGAGGGAGTGGGTGGGTGGGTGAGGGAGTGGGTGGGTGGTGGAGTGGGTGGGTGGTGGAGTGGGTGGGTGGTGGAGTGGGTGGGTGGTGGAGTGGGTGGGTGGGTGGTGGAGTGGGTGGGTGGGTGGTTGGGTGGGTGAGGGAGTGGGTGGGTGGGTGAGGATGTGGGTGGTTGGGTGAGGGAGTGAGTGGGTGGGTGGGTGGGTGAGGGAGTGGGTTGGGTGGGTGGGTGGGTGGGTGAGTGAGTGGGTGGGTGGGTGGGTGGGTGAGGGAGTGGGTGGGTGGGTGGGTGGGTGAGGGAGTGGGTGGGTGGGTGACTGGGTGGGTGGGTGAGGGAGTGGGTGGGTGGGTGAGTGGATGAGTGGGTGAGGGAGTGGGTGGGTGGGTGACTGGGTGGGTGGGTGGGTGAGTGGGTGGTGGAGTGGGTGACTGGGTGGGTGGTGGAGTGAGTGACTGGGTGGGTGGGTGAGCGGGTGAGTGGCTGGGTGAGTGAGTGGGTGGGTGGGTGGGTGGGTGGGTGGGTGACTGGGTGGGTGACTGGGTGGGTGAGTGGGTGGGTGAGTGGGTGGGTGAGTGAGTGGGTGACTGGGTGAGTTTGTAAATTGGTGGGTGAGTTAGTGGGTGGGTGAGTGAGTGCGTGACTGGGTGAGTGGGTGACTGGGTGGGTGAGTGAGTGGGTGAGTGAGTGAGTCACTGGGTGGGTGAGTGGGTGAGTGAGTGAGTCACTTGGTGAGTTGGTGAGTGACTGGGTGAGTGACTGGGTGACTGGGTGGGTGAGTGAGTGACTGGGTGAGTGAGTGGGTGAGTGGGTGAGTGAGTGAGTGAGTCACTGGGTGAGTGACTGGGTGACTGGGTGGGTGAGTGAGTGACTGGGTGAGTGGCTGGGTGAGTGGGTGGGTGACTGGGAGACTGGGTGGGTGACTGGGTGACTGGGTTACTGGGTGACTGGGTGAGTGAGTGACTGGGTGAGTGGCTGGGTGAGTGGCTGGGTGAGTGGCTGGGTGAGTGGGTGAGTGACTGGGTGAGTGGGTGAGTGACTGGGTGAGTGGCTGGGTGAGTGGGTGAGTGGGTGAGTGACTGGGTGAGTGAGTCACTGGGTGGGTGAGTGAGTGAGTCACTGGGTGAGTGACTGGGTGAGTGGCTGGGTGAGTGGCTGGGTGAGTGGGTGAGTGGGTGAGTGAGTGAGTCACTGGGTGAGTGGGTGACTGGGTGAGTGACTGGGTGACTGGGTGACTGGGTGGGTGACCCCCCAGGCTGATCGCCGTGGAGGAGGAGCTCACGAGGGACCACGCCGAGATGCAGGCGGTGATTGACGCCAAGCAGCAGATCATCCACGCACAGGTGACACGCGCGTCACACCATCACACAGTGTCACACCATCACACAGCGTCACACAACCACACAGCATCACACCACCACACAGCGTCACACAACCACACAGCATCACACAACCACACAGCATCACACCATCACACAGCATCACACCACCACACAGCGTCACACAACCACACAGCATCACACCATGACACAGCATCACACCATCACACAGCGTCACACCATTACACAGCGTCACACAGTCACACAGCGTCACAGCGTCACATCGTCACAGCGTCACACAGACACACAGTGTCACACAGCGTCACACAGTCACACAGCGTCACAGCGTCACACAGCGTCACAGTCACACACCATCACACAGCGTCACACCACCACACAGCGTCACACCACCACACAGCATCACACCACCACACAGCATCACACCACCACACAGCGTCACACAAACACACAGTGTCACACAGTCACACAGCGTCACACCACCACACAGAGTCACACCACCACACAGCGTCACACAGTCACACAGAGTTACACCACCAAACAGAGTCACACCACCACACAGTCACACCACCACACAGCATCACACCACCACACAGCGTCATACAGTCACACAGCGTCACACAACCACACAGAGTCACACCACCACACAGAGTCACACCATCACACAGCATCACACCACCACACAGCGTCACACAGTCACACAGCGTCACACAACCACACAGCGTCACACAACCACACAGCATCACACCATCACACAGCATCACACCACCACACAGCGTCACACCACCACACAGCGTCACACCACCACACAGCGTCACACCACCACACAGCATCACACCACCACACAGCATCACACCACCACACAGCGTCACACAAACACACAGCGTCACACAGTCACACAGCATCACACCACCACACAGCATCACACAGTCACACAGCGTCACACCATCACACAGCGTCACACCACCACACAGTGTCACACAGTCACACAGCATCACACAGTCACACTTCACAGCGTCACAGCGTCACACAACAACAACAACAACCGCCATTCGCCACTAAGTGGCGGTGACGTCACCACGACGCTTGTGCCAGGCTATGTGCAAGTTGAGGCCACGTGAAGTGTCGAACGCCCGCTGGCAGGAGGTCACGGGGCAGACCCAGCAGGTGCCACGGGTCGACTGACTGAGACGACCGAGATGACTGGCTGATGCACCACCTGTGCCCCCTACTGTGCCAACTTGCTGTGCTTTAGCCACCCGGCGCTCCGCTCGTTGTTGTTGGAGGGCGACTGCCTCCAACTGCCCAGTAGCGTCCTTCACGAGCCTCCTCCACTGAGGCCGATCTTGACACCGCTGGTACCAGTCATTGGCAAGTCCACTCAGCTCCACGTCCTCCTGTACCACATCTCTTCTCTAGCCCGTGCCGCGCCCGTTTAGCCCCCTCGATCCGGCCGAACAAAAGCTGTTTAGGTATGCGGTGGCTGGGCATGCAGGCTACATGACCCAGACAACGCAGCCTTGCCTGCCGGAGGAGCTCACCGATTGGACTTTGTCCAGATCTTTCAATGATTTGTGAGCTCCTCACACAATCCAGCCTGGTTAAACCCAGGATGGATCGTAGGCAGGCCAGCCTAAATGTTTCTAACAGGCGAAGATGCCTGTTAGAGAAGGGAGGGAATGACTGTGGCCGAGAAGACCTGAAGCTTCGTGCAGAGCGACAGACCAGGTAGCTTCCACACAGCCTTACGCAACCAATGAAAATATATTGCCGCTCTACTCATTCGGAGTGAGACCTCTGCTGTTAAACTGGAGCCAGTCATGAGCACACTGCCCAGGTATGGGAAACTCTCCACTCTCTCCACAACTGCCCCATCACCGATTGGGAGTTTTGGGGGTGGAGTGCCCAATGGTACAAAATATTGAGGCAGGTGCTTAGTTTTGGTGGGGCTGATGGTAAGGCCCCACACCTCTTAGTGGCATGCTCCAGTCTTAGCAGCAGCGTCTCCAACTCCTCTTCTGAATGAGCAGCTATTACCAAATCATCGGCATTCATAACGTGATTGACCAATAGGAAGCCATCCCTTGATCACACCGGGGCATCGATCAGCCTCCCATTATATCTGTACCAAATGGAAATTCCTCCGGTACAGCTATTGAAGGCTTTACGAACTACGTGGTCAAAATAGATGTTAAATAATGTTGGAGCCAGAGGACATCCCTGTAGCACCCCAAGGTATACAGGGAAAGGCTTTGACTCCCGGCCACGTAGTTTTACCCGGGCCCGCTCACCATCATGAAGGTCCTTAATGATCGTGAGCAGAGGGTCAGGGACTCCGAAAGCACGCAGAACAACCCAAAGCCCAGGCCTACTGATGGTATCATAGGCCTTGTCCAGGTCAATAAAGCAGAGATGTAGGTCTTGTGGGAATTCCCTACACATCTGCTGTAGCAGACGGACAGAAAATATGGCATCTGTGCAGGACCGCCCTTTCCTGAAACCACTTTGGGGCTCCGCAAGCCTCTCCTCAGCGTGCCTAGCAAGGCGATGTTGAATAATCCTTGCCAGGACCTTTCCTGGCACACTGAGGAGTGAGATGCCCCTGTAGTTGTTACAGTCTGTGCGGTCCCCCTTCTTAAAGATGGGGACCACCAGGGCATCCTTCCAATCCTGCGGAACCCATCCAATGGTCCACACTGTTGTTATGATTTCATGTAGGGCAGTCTGTGCACAAACGCCACCCTCAGCATTTCGCTTGATGGATCATCTCTGTCCGGTGCCTTTCCTGGTCTTAGACTCTTTATCGCCCTCAGTACTTCCTCCACAGATGGCACCTCAGCCAGCCACTCTCAGGGGGTGACTTTTTCCAATATTTGAGGCACCGCAGACTCAGCAGGGTCATCCCCACTTTGTCCCATGTTGTTTTCCTGGGTTATGGGTTTCTCCTCCCCCAGGACCTCACAGAAATGCTCAGCAAATCGGCTCTCCGAGCCTCTCAGCGAAAGCTACAGTAAGCCTCCTCATTCTCCTATGTGGGATGCTGGAGCCGATGAGAGTGGGCTTGTCGCTTTTTCTCAGCCAGGGTCTCTGGGGAGGTCTGGACCGCGTACCCATAGCAGCCATTGCAGCTGCATTACCCACAGTCCTAAACCTCGCCCATTTACCCTCGACATCAGTAGGAGTGAGGGACGATGCCAACCGCAGCCGCAAGCGATGATGAAATTATCGTTTGCAACTTTCATCAGCTAACTGAGGCCATGCCACTAAGGGTTGGAATGCAGTCCTGGGTGTACACCCACCACCCGAGTGGAAGAATGGCAGGCGAATCTTACAGAAGACAAGTCGATGGTCAGAGGGCAGATCAGCTCCACGGTAGGTTCTGGTGTCAAGGATCCGCTGTTCCGTCACTACGTAGTCCAGCAGATGTTCTTGCTTGGTAATTACAAGCCCATGGGCTGCACAAAAATCTAGCAGCCTCCTGCCGTTGTTATTGAGCTGATCTGGCCCATGCCTTCCAATCACTCCAGACCAGGTGCCAGCATCATGGCCAACTCGGGCATTAAAGTCACCCAACAAGATGACTCTATCCCGAGGGGCCACTTTAGCTACCATCTGTGACAGGAGGTCATAGAAGGCATCTGACTCATTGGCCTTGCCTGCATCTCTCCACGGGTGTTAGTCTCCAGTGGGTTTATAAGTAACCACGACCACCACTCCTCGCCTCTGGTTGATGGGAAGGCGAGCCCAAAGTAGCCTGGGGCTTACAGCTTCCCACACCTCACCGCCACGCACCCACACCCCCTTCATTCTTTTGTTCAGAAGAAGAGCCACACCCTGTTGTTTGGCAGTCTCCTGTCCCGAGTGGAGGACTGTCGACCCCTCATGGTGGCAGGAGCCAGAGCCGGTCCACCGGACCTCGTGAATGCCACAGAGATCCTGGCGGGTACCGGTCCAGCTCCCGACAGAGGAGTGGCAGCCTCTCCTCCGCAGTGAGCGTTCGAACATTCCACGTAGCCATCCGTAGTGGCTTTTTGTTGTTTCTGGAGGAGACCCGAGGGTGAAGATTAAATCTCCTGGCTCCACCAAATTGGGGTTTGCCAGGAGATGTCATAGCCGCCCTGTCCCACTGGGGCCTCTGGCACAAGCTTGTTAATTAGATATCTTAGACGTGGTTTAGTGGTAATTAATTGAAGGTGGAGGGGTTACCAGCCCCTCGCACCCGTCCAGAGCCCCCGTTTAGCCGCTGTGGTGGTCACAGACGCCATCAGGGGAGAGGCCAATCAGAATTGGCCCTCCCCCCACAGCACTGCCCACGACAGCATTGCCCGTCCGGCACCGCGAGGAGGTAGGGGGTTGTTTTACACGCACCGTATATATACACACACAGACACACACACTCACACACAGCGTCAGACAGTCACAGCGTCACACCGTCACACGGTGATGGTGGTGGTTGTGGTGGTTGTGGTGGTACTGGTGATGGTGTTGGTGGTGATGGTGGTGATGGTGGTGATGGTGGTGGTGGTGATGGTGATGGTGCTGGTGGTGGTAATGGTGGTGGTGATGGTGGTGCTGTTTGTGGTTGTTGTTGGTGGTGCTGGTTGTGGTTGTTGATGGTGGTTGTGGTTGTGGTGGTGGTGATGGTGGTGCTGGTTGTGGTTGTTGTTGGTTGTGGTTGTGGTGGTGCTGGTTGTGGTTGTTGATGGTGGTTGTGGTTGTTGTTGGTTGTGGTTGTTGTTGGTGGTGATTGTGGTTGTTGTTGGTGGTGATTGTGGTTGTGGTGGTGGTGGTTGTGGTTCTGCAGGAGAAGCGGATCGCGTCCCTGGACGAGGCCAACTCGCGCCTCATGAGCGCGCTGGCCCAGCTCAAGGAGCGCTACAGGCGGCAGGCTCGCAACGGACTGCCGCACAACAACCCACACGGCGGTGGTGGCGGTGGTGGTGGTGCCGGTGGTGGTGGTGGTGGTGCCGGCAACAACACAACAACCGCCACCACCACCACCAAGCTGTCCATCACGGAGAACGGGGAGTTCAAGCATAGCTCCTGCTAGCAGATAGCACCACCACCACTATCGCTACTACCACCGCTACGACTAACGCCGCTGCCGCTGCTACCACTGTCAACATCACCATCGTCACCGCCACCACTGCCATCACCACCACCACCGTCACCACCACCGTCACCACCACCATCACCACCGCCGCCACCACCAGCACCATCACCACCATCACCATCGCTACCACCGTGACCACCACCGTCACGACCGCCGCCACCATCGCCACCACCAGCACCATCGCTACCACCGTGACCACCACCACCAACATCACCACCATCACTGCCACCACCACCGTCACCACCACCACCACCAACGTCACCATCACCACCATCACCACCACCGTCACCACCACCATCACCACCATCACCACCATCACCACCACCACCATCACCACCATCACCACCACCGTCACCACCACCATCACCACCACCGTCACCACCACCACCACCAACGTCACCATCACCACCATCACCACCACCGTCACCACCACCATCACCACCATCACCACCACCACCATCACCACCATCACCACCATCACCACCACCGTCACCACCACCATCACCACCACCACCATCACCACCATCACCACCATCGCCCACGTGTTTGTTTGTCCGTGTGCTGTTTTCGTGTTAAAGACTGACGATGTTTAACTTTCGTGTAGATTCTTTTCTAAAACCGGTTAAAGATATTTATATATAGATAATAAAAAAAATATACGCATATACACACACACACATTAAACGAGACCTCGGCCAATCGTACGCACGCACGGAAGTACGGTACAACCCCCAGTCCGTCACGTGACCTCCTCGTGCACCTAGCCTGGCACGTGCTCGATCCACTGCTGGATGATGACCGCCCGTGCCTCTGTTGACGCCTTTGTAATTTCTTGCTGGAATCGTTAACGATGATCGTTATTGACAATCGATCATCGTTATTGATGATCGATAATCTTTAACAACGATCCATCATCGTTATTGACGATCAATCATCGTTCTCATCGCCATCGTCGTCGTCATCGATAGGTGTCATTGCAGGGAGACAAACACTTTGATTTGAAATCGACCCACGGGACGTGTTTATTATTTATCGATCTGTAGGTGGCGTTGTGTACATACGGGGGTGGGGCGCTTCTATTTTCGATATCGATGAAACGGGAATGTGGAAATTTTGTACGAACTTCAGGGGAGTTTGGTGGACGGAGTTGGTGGTGGTAGTGGTGGTAGTGATAGTGGTGGTAGTGGTGGTGGTGGTGATGGTGGTGGTGGTGGTAGTGGAGATGGTGGTGGTAGTGATAGTGGTGGTAGTGGTGGTGGAGATGGTGGTAGTGGTGGTAGTGGTGGTAGTGGAGATGGTGGTGGTGGTGATAGTGGTGGTAGTGGAGATGGTGGTGGTGGTGATAGTGGTGGTAGTGGAGATGGTGGTGGTGGTGGTAGTGGTGGTAGTTGGAGGTTGTGATTATGGTGGAGATGGTGGTGGCGATGGTGGTTGTGGTTAATAGGTGCTCGCTAACAGCACTTGCCCCAGCAGCATGTTGAGGCTATGCGGGGGACCTCTGACTTGTCTTTTAATGGTGATGGTGATGATGATGGTGGTGATGGTGGTGATGATGGTGATGGTGGTGATGGTGGTGATGGTGATGATGGTGGTGATGGTGATGATGGTGGTGATGGTGGTGATGGTGGTGAAGGTGATGATGGTGATGATGCAAAAGCAGCAAATCCTGTTGCTACTGTTGCTACTGCTGCTACTGTTACTGCTGCTGCTACTGTTGCTACTGTTACTGCTGCTGCTGTTACTGCTGCTGCTGTTACTGCTGCTGCTACTGTTGCTACTGCTGTTACTGCTGCTACTGTTGCTGATGTTACTGTTACCGCTGTTACTGCTGCTGCTACTGTTGCTACTGTTACTACTGCTGCTGTTGCTGCTGTTACTGTTGCCGCTACTGTTGCTACTGTTACTACTGCTGCTGTTGCTGCTGCTGCTGTTGCTGCTGCTGCTGCTACTACTGTTGCTACTGTTACTGCTGTTGCTGTTACTGTTGCTACTGTTGCTGTTGCTGCTGTTGCTACTGCTGCTACTGTTACTGTTGCTGCTGTTACTGCTGTTGCTACTGCTGCTACTATTACTGCTGCTACTGTTACTGTTGCTACTGCTACTGTTACTGTTTCTACTGTTACTGCTGTTGCTACTGCTGCTACTGTTACTGCTGCTACTGTTGCTGCTGCTACTGCTGCTACTGTTGCTGCTACTGCTGCTACTGTGACTGCTGTTGCAGCAGCGAGTGATGAAGATGGTTGTCGAGACATCGCGACAAAGACAAAGCTCCCCCGTGTAGCCTCTGACGGACGGTCGGGGCAAGTGCTGAGTCAGTGGCGAGTAGCAGCAGCAGCGGCAGCAGCAGCGGCGATGACAATGATGATGATGATGAAGGCCGTCACGGCACCACGCCAGCACCACGCCCGGCCGCCTTTGTCTCCCCCAGTGCTGGCGATGTTCACTACCACACACCGCTACACCAGGGGACTCGTTTTGAGGCTGAGTCGACCTAGGGGAGGCTCCGAACCGCTGGGTTCGCAGCGCAGCGTAGCGCTAACCGCTCCACCACCGCTCCCCATACACTGAGACACACAGACAGACACGCACACAGACACAAAGATACAAAGATCCCCCATATAGCCTGAACAGACTGTAGGGGCAAGTGCTGTTAGCGAGCACCTATGAAGGCCGGAACGGTACACGAGGGGGTGGGTGGCCAGCACCACGCCCGACCGCCTTTGTCTCCCTAGTGGCGATGTTTACACACCGCACCAGGTACTCATTTAAGGCTGAGTCGACCTAGGGGAGGCCCAGGACCGGTTCAGATAATCGTCACTGGTGTTGGCCGTGAGCGGGAATCGAACCCGGGTCGCCAGGTTCATAGCGCAGCGTAGCGCTAACCGCTACATTACCGCTCCCCCCCACACACACACACAGACACACACAGACACACACACAGACACACACACACAGACACACACAGACACACACACACAGAGACACACGCACACAGACACACACACAGACACACACACAGAGACGCACACAGACAGACACACAGACACACACAGACACACACAGACACACACAGACACACAGACACACACACAGACACACACACACAGACACACACACAGACACACACATACACACAGACACACACACAGACACACACAGACACACACACACACAGACACACAGACACTCACACAGACACTCACACAGACACACAGACACTCACACAGACACTCACACAGACACTCACACAGACACACACACAGACACACACACATACACAGACACACACAGAGACACACAGACACACACACAGACACAGAGACACACACACAGACACACACACAGACACACACAGACACACACAGAGACACACACAGATACACACACAGACACACACACAGACACACACACACAGACACACACAGACACACACACAGACACACACACACACACAGACACACACAGACACACACAGACACACAGACACACACACAACGCCCCCTCGCCAGCCGGGGTAGCAGCGATGGAGGCTGCATGCTACTCGTGTCCCAGGCGCTCCGATCACTCCACGTTACTGTGACAGCGACGAGGATGCGTCCATTCTAATCGTCAGCTGCGGGTTTGAAGTTCTCTCGATTTTTAAATCCTTTATATTAAGTTCACTTGCGTGCGTGCTTGCTTGCTTAGGACCGTGCAAATCTTTCGGTCGTTTTTTAACCCACTTCCCGTGATCCAATCGAGCTGACATTTTGCACACAGACTCGTTGTGCCAGACAATTAATGTTCGTGAAATTTTTTTCCCCAAAATGTTACACTGTTTAGGACAAATAAATTATATTTAATTACCAATTTCTTAATGTTGGCAGGCAATCATCTGACCCATAGGTGGCAGCCATCTCAAGCCAGAGGACGAGAGGACTCTTGCCGCCACGCATATAAAGGATTTAGAGTGAAAAACTTTGTTTTTACGGGTTAATTTTTTTCTGTTCATTTCGCGGATTTTTTTTTTGCAGCGAGACGTCACGTGATCGCCATACGCATCACGATCATTGCACGACGGTTAAGGGGCCGTCCATAAATGACGTCACGCACCTATTGGGGGAGGGGTGGGGGTCAGACATTTGTGACGATGTGTGACGAGGGGAGGGGGGGTTAGAGAAATGTGACGTCACGTCAAAATGTGTAACTTTAATAAATAAATATAAACAACACCTTCTACTTAATTAAAAATACTTTGTAATAAATGTTTTCTACCTGCAACATCGGAGTGCAGCGCCACGTTAAACACGCACTACAATGACGATGGTTCAAAGCGATTTGAAGCATGTTTTTTATTTATTTTTTGTGGGGGGGAGGGGGGGTGGGGCAGAGCTTTGTGACGTCATCTTTGAGGAGGGGGGTCTGTCTTTGTGACGTCATGTGACGAGGGGGGGTCAAATCGCGTGACGTCATTTATGGAGGGCCCCTTTTAAAGTTCAAGTTACTCGTGATGATGATACTTCTAATATGATAACGTGAGAACTTATATACTACGACGATGTGTTGATGATGATGATGATGATTCAATTATGTTACGATAATTTAAGTGAGAGGAACTTTGGGGTTATGATCATTAATATTAATGTTGTTGTTGTTGTTGACTTTCGGGCATTAACGCACCCAAAGGTAAAGACAAAGGTTCTCCAAAGCAGCCCTCCCCCCCGGTGTAGCCTCGACGGAGCGGTGAGCCAAGTGCTGCGGAAGCACCACCACCATCACCAGCACCACCACCATCACCACCATCACCACCACCACCATCACCACCATCACCACCACCACCATCACCACCACCATCATTACCACCATCACCACCATCACCACCATCACCACCACCACCACCATCACCACCATCACCACCACCACCATCACCACCACCATCATTACCACCACCACCACCATCACCACCACCACCAGCACCACCACCACCATCACCACCATCACCACCACCACCATCACCACCACCATCATTACCACCACCATCACCACCACCACCACGCCCAGGGCCGCCTTTGTCTCTCCTTCGGTGGCGATGTGGTGGTGGTGCTGGTGGTGATGATGGTGATGGTGGTGGTGATTGTGGTGATGATGATGGTGGTGGTGATTGTGGTGGTGGTGGTGATGGTGGTGATGGTGGTGGTGGTAGTGATGGTGGTGGTGATGGTGGTGGTGGTGGTGGTGATTGTGGTGATGATGATGGTGGTGGTGATTGTGGTGATGGTGGTGATGGTGGTGATGGTGGTGGTGGTGATGGTGGTGGGGTGGTGGTGGTGGTGATGGTAGTGGTGGTGGTGATGGTGGTGATGGTGGTGGTGGTAGTGGTGGTGGTGGTGATGATGATGGTGATGGTGGTGGTGATGGTGGTGGTGGGGTGGTGGTGGTGGGTTGGTGGTGGTGATGATGATGGTGATGGTGGTGATGATGGTGGTGATGGTGGTGGTGGTGATGATGGTGGCGGTGATGGCGGTGGTGATGGTGGTGTTGGCGGTGGTGATGGTGGTGTCGGTGGTGGATCTGAGTGCACGTAAAATACAAGAGACACAGATCCCCCGTGTAGCCTCTAGCGGATTGTAAGGGCAAGTGCTGTTAGTAGCGAGTAGCAGCGCCTATGAAGGCCGGCACGGCACACGAGGGGGTGGGTGGCCAGAACCACGCCCGGCCGCCTTTGTCTCCCCAGTGGCGATGTTTACACCTCCACTGCACGAGGTTACTTATTTTGAGGCTGAATCGACCTAGGGGAGGCCCGAGACCGGTTCAGATCACACACAGACACCATGCACACAGACACCACACACACACCACACGCACACACACACCACACGCACACACACAGACACACACACCACACACACCACACGCACACACACACTACACACACCACACACAGGCACACACAGACGCACACAGGCACACACGCGCACACAACACCACACGCAGACACAGGCACACACCACACACACACAGGCACCACACACACGCACACAGAGACACACACCACAAAGACACACACACACAGGCACCACACAGGCACCACACACACACACAGAGACACACACCACAAAGACACACAGACACACACCACAAAGACACACACACACACCACACGCACACACACCACGCGCTTGCACATATTCCGGACGATATTTTGTACGTTTGCAACGCAACAGGACGAAGACATTTTTTCGTATAATGATGATGATGATGATTATTGCTCTTAAGATATTGATATTTTGTAAGATTCTATTGAGAGAGAGAGACGTTCAAAATGACCATTCGGAGGTTGCAAGATTGTCTGTGCTCGAATGTGAACATCTCACTTCGTGGATTAGGAGTCGCTGCGAGTTGGTTGGTGCGATCATCCCCATCACCATCATCACCATCATCATCATCACCATCATCACCATCATCAACATCACCACCATCATCATCATCACCATCATCTCCACCACCATCACCATCAACATCACCATCATCACCATCATCCCCATCACCATCATCACCATCATCACCATCATCACCATCATCACCATCATCATCACCATCAACATCACCACCATCACCACCACCATCATCATCAACATCACCACCATCATCATCAACATCACCACCATCATCAACATCACCACCATCACCACCACCATCATTATCATCAACATCACCACGATCACTACCACCATCATCATCACCATGATCAACACCATCACCACCATCATCATCACCACCCCCACCACCACCATCATCCCCACCACCATCATCACCATCATCACCACCACCGTCACCACCACCACCATCATCACCATCACCACCATCAACCTTCTCTTCGGTACTTTGTTGAAGCTGGGAGACTTTGCAGGGATGAGAGATGTTGTTGTTGTTGTTGTCTGTACAGTCGAATAAAGAAGCCATTTGGTCTGTTCACCACGATGCCGTTTGTACACACACACATACATACACACACTCACATACACACTCACACATACACACACTCACATACACACTCACACACATACATACACACACATACACACTCACATACACACTCACATACACACATACACACACATACACACACTCACTCACACACATACACACTCACATACACACACACTCACATACACACACTACACACACACTCACATACACACACTCACATACACACACATACACACACACACACACACACTCACATACACACACATACACACACACTCACACACACTCACATACACACACACTCACACACACTCACATACACACACACTCACATACACACACTCACATACACACACACTCACATACACACACTCACATACAAAGACAAAGATCCCCCGTATAGCCTTAGACTGTAGGGGCAAATGCTGTTAGCGAGCACCTCTCACATACACACACACTCACATACACACACACACACTCACATACACACACACTCACATACACACACACTCACATACACATACACACAACAACAACAACCGCCATTCGCCACTAAGTGGCGGTGACGTCACCACGATGCTTGTGCCAGGCCAAGTGCACCTTGAGGCCACGTGAAGTGTCGAAAGCCCGCTGGCAGGAGGTCACGGGGCAGACCCAGCAGGTGCCACGGGTCGACTGACCGAGATGACCGAGATGACTGGCTGATGCACCACCTGTGCCCCCTACTGTGCCAACTTGCTGTGCTTTAGCCACCCGGCGCTCCGCTCGTTGTTGTGAGCGTCGCTCCTCCGCCCTCCGTTGTTGTTGGAGGGCGACTGCCTCCAACTGCCCAGTAGCGTCCTTCACGAGCCTCCTCCACTGAGGCCGATCTTGACACCGCTGGTACCAGTCATCGGCAAGTCCACTCAGCTCCACGTCCTCCTGTACCACATCACTCCATCTCTTCTCCAGCCCGTGCCGCGCCCGTCTAGCCCCCTCGATCCGGCCGAACAAAAGCTGTTTAGGCATGCGGTGGCTGGGCATGCGGGCTACATGACCCAGCCAACGCAGCCTTGCCTGCCGGAGGAGCTCACTGATGGGACTTTGCCCAGATCTTTCAAGGATTTGTGAGCTCCTCACACAATCCAGCCTGGTTAAACCCAGGATGGATCGTAGGCAGGCCAGCCTAAATGTTTCCAACCGGCGAAGATGCTCCACCAGGGGGGTCCACGTCTCGCAAGCGTAGAGAAGGGAGGGAATGACCGTGGCCGAGAAGACCTGAAGCTTCGTGCGGAGCGACAGACCAGGTAGCTTCCACACAGCGTTACGCAACCGATGAAAAGATATTGCCGCTCGACTGATTCGGAGTGAGACCTCTGCTGATAGACTGGAGCCGGTCATAAGCACACTGCCCAGGTATGGGAAACTCTCCACTCTCTCCACAACTGCCCCATCACCAATTGGGAGTTGTGGGGGTGGAGTGTCCGATGGTACAAAATACCCAGGCAGGTGCTTAGTTTTGGTGGGGCTGATGGTAAGGCCCCACCTCTTAGTGGCACGCTCCAGTCTCAGCAGCAGCGCCTCCAACTCCTCTTCTGAATGAGCAGCTATTACCAAATCATCGGAATACATAACGTGGTTGACCAATAGGGAGCCATCCCTTGATCGCACCCGGGCGTCGATCAGCCTCCCATTATATCTGTACCAAATGGAAATTCCCCCGATACAGCTATTGAAGGCTTCACGAACTACGCGGTCAAAATAGATGTTATATAATATGGGAGCCAGAGGACATCCCTGTCGCACCCCAAGGTGTACAGGGAAAGGCTCCGACTCCCAGCCACGTAGTTTTACCCGGGCCCGCTCACCATCATGAAGGTCCTTAATGATCGTGAGCAGAGGGTCAGGGACTCCGAAAGCACGAAGAACAACCCAGAGCCCAGGCCTACTGATGGTATCATAGGCCTTGACCAGGTCAATAAAGCAGAGATGTAGGTCTTGTTGGAGTTCCCTACACCTCTGCTGTAGCAGACGGACAGAAAATATGGCATCTGTGCAGGACCGCCCTTTCCTGAAACCACAGACTCACACACTCACTCACTCACACATTAACCCACTCACTTCCACACTTACACTCACACACTCCCACACTCACACACTAACCCACTCACTGTGTAGAACAGGGGTAGCCCACACACACGCTCACAATCACACCAACACTCACTCACACACACTCACTCACACCCACACTCACACCCACACTCACTCACACACACTCACTCATACACTCAGTCACTCACACACTATCCCACTCACTCACACACTCACTCACACTCGCTGTATAGAACAGGGGTAGCCCACACACTCACTCACTCCCACACAGAGACGCGCCCGACCTGGGAGTTGAACCCAGGCGCCCTCATTGCCCCTGGCACCTCACAAGGAGGAGACGCGGACACCCCTCGCGATTAGAGCCACAGTCGTCTTCAAATATTCTTCGGTTTTTTCGCTAAAGTCACGAAGGTAAAAAAAATAAATTAATAAAAGTAAAATAAAAAAATAATATTTATATTTTTAATTTTACTTTAATGAATTTTTATTTAAATTTTTTACCCTCGTGACTTCCCGTGCTGAAAATCGATTTTTACCTACGTGACTTTACTTTCATGAATTTTAATTTAAATTTTTTACCTAAGTGACTTTACCGAAAAAACCGAAGAATATGAATCTTTGCGGCCACGAAAGCTTCAAATCCAGAGTCGTCTTCACATAATTCATTCGTCACAAAAGTCGACGATGGAACAATCTTCAACAAATCTGCGCCCGGTCATTATTTTTTGTTTATTTTATTTTAACTTATAAGTAATGTAAAACGTACACCTCGAGATATATATATTACATAAATATAATTCATATGTACTCTTTGGTTCTTTCGGTAAAGTCACGTGGGTCTAAAGTGAATTAAATCACGACGTTTCGGGTGCAACACCAGCATCCATCATCAGGTGGTCTGCGCCCGAAACGTCGTAATTAATTTTATTTCCTACCCACGTGACTTTACCCAAAGAACCAAAGAGTATGGATCCCTGCAGTCACGAAAGATTCAAATCAAGATAGAATTCACATGCTGAAAATCGATTTGTTTTTGATAAAGCGTTACATTGGGTTCACCGAAAGTTGCTGACCTGCGATAATATTCACAGCGATCTACCCACATTAGGTAGCCTCTTTGTAGCCATGATTCACTTTCATGTCATCAGAGCTGGCAGACTTATTTCTTTAGAAGGTAAAAATTACACACTACAATACACTATACACTACACTATACACTACACTACTATACACTACACTATACACTACACTACTATACACTACACTATACACTATTATACACTACTATACACTACACTATACACTGCACTACTATACACTGCACTATACACTATTATACACTACACTATACACTACACTATACACTACACTATATACACTACACTATACACTACACTACTATACACTGCACTATACACTATTATACACTACACTATACACTACACTACACTATACATTACACTATATACTACACTACTATACACTGCACTATACACTACACTACTATACACTGCACCATACACTATACACTACACTATACACTACACTCTACACTATACACTACGATACACTACACTATACACTACACTATTCACCACACTATACACCACACTATACACTACACTATACACTTCACTATACACTACACTATACACTTCACTATACACTACACTATACGCGCGCCTCCGATTATCCACGGTTGGCTACGTACGGTGCGAAAGAAGTTCAACGCACACGCACAGGCACACAACAACAACCGCCGCCATTCGCCACTAAGTGGCGGTGACGTCACCACGACGCTTGTGCCAGGCCATGTGCACCTTGAGGCCACGTGAAGTGTCGAACGCCCGCTGGCAGGAGGTCACGGGGCAGACCCAGCAGGTGCCACGGGTCGACTGACCGAGATGACCGAGACGACTGGCTGATGCACCACCTGTGCCCCCTACTGTGCCAACTTGCTGTGCTTTAGCCACCCGGCGCTCCGCTCGTTGTTGTGAGCGTCGCTTCTCTGTTCTCCGTTGTTGTTGGAGGGCGACTGCCTCCAACTGCCCAGTAGCGTCCTTCACGAGCCTCCTCCACTGAGGCCGATCTTGACACCGCTGGTACCAGTCATCGGCAAGTCCACTCAGCTCCACGTCCTCCTGTACCACATCACTCCATCTCTTCTCTAGCCTGTGTACACACACACGTGTACAAAGACAAAGATCCCCCGTGTAGCCTTAACAGACTGTCGGGGCAAGTGCTGTTAACGATCACCTATGAAGGCCACGTACACACACACACACGTACACACACACATACACACACTCACACGTACACACACACGTAGACGCACACACACAGGTACACACACACACGTACACACACACAGACACGTACACACACAAGCACACACACGCACACACACACACACACGCACACACACGCACACACACACGTACACACACACGCACACACACACGTACACACACACGTATACACACACACACGTACACACACACAGGTACACACACACGCACACACACACGTACACCAACACACGTACACACACACACACACGTACACACACGTATACACACACACACGTACACACACACACGTACACACACACACGTACACACACACGTACACACACACGTACACACACACACACACGCGTACACACACACATACGTACACACACGTACACACACACGTACACATACACGTACACACACACGCACACACACACACGTACACACACACGCACACACACACACGTACACACACACACACACGTACACACACACGTACACATACACGTACACACACACGCACACACACACGTACACACACACACACGTACACACACAAGTAAACACACACACGTACACACACACGTACCCACACACGTGCACACACACACGCGTACACACGTACAGACACACACGCGCACACACGTACACACACACATACACACACACACGTACACACACACGTACACACACACGTACACACACACGTGCACACACACACGTACACACACGTACACACACACACGTACACACACACACACGTACACACACACACGTACACATACACACACGCGTACACACACACACGTACACACGCGTGCACACACACACGTACACACACACGTACACACACACACACTTACACACACACACGTACACATACACGTACACACACACGCACACACACACGTACACACACACGTACACACACGTACACACACACACGTACACACACACACACTTACACACACACGTACACATACACGTACACACGCACACACACACGTACACACACACACACGTACACACACACACACGTACACACACACACGTACACACACACACGTACACACACACATGTACACACACACGTACACACACACACGTACACACACACACGTACACACACACACGCGCACACACGTACACACACACTCGTACACACACACACGCGTACACATATACGTGTAGTAGAGTTACCTACTCGATGTTCACAAACTGGGAGAGCTCATCGTTGACAAGGTGTTCCCGCTCTTTCTAACGGTCAGGGTCTCACAAGCTGTGAGAGCTGACCGTTAACAAGGTTTTCCCGCGCGACCAAACGGTCAGGGTCAGATAGGGTGAATTGGGATCCTAAAGCAGATTGGGAATGACCAATCACAGGGTTCCACAAGGTGGCCGGGGATTGGACAACCCGGCCACGAACGAGTATAAAGCCAGAGCGCTCAGAGCTCTCGGGGAGTTCGACTACACGAAGACCCAAGCCGGCGGAAGAAGCCTAGGACCCTGGACCAAGCCCTCCAGCCCTTATAAGGGCGAGAGTTCAGAGTAACCAGTGGTCGGGGAGACATCTTCCTAGGTCCAGTCAGAGGACACTGAAAGAGCGGGATATTAAGTAGCCTGTAGGGTGCGGAGGCTTGTACGTTCTGAGTGTAACGAGTGAGGGGACCGTATACCCGTCAGTGCATAGGGACTGTGTTCATAAGACGAATAAAAGTGTGTGCTACAAAAGACGTTGAAGAGTCCGTCTGTACAACACCACACACATACAACAACAACAACAACCGCCATTCGCCACTAAGTGGCGGTGACGTCACCACGATGCTTGTGCCAGGCCAAGTGCACCTTGAGGCCACGTGAAGTGTCGAAAGCCCGCTGGCAGGAGGTCACGGGGCAGACCCAGGTGCCACTGGTCGACTGACCGAGATGACCGAGATGACTGGCTGATGCACCACCTGTGCCCCCTACTGTGCCAACTTGCTGTGCTTTAGCCACCCGGCGCTCCGCTCGTTGTTGTGAGCGTCGCTCCTCCGCCCTCCGTTGTTGTTGGAGGGCGACTGCCTCCAACTGCCCAGTAGCGTCCTTCACGAGCCTCCTCCACTGAGGCCGATCTTGACACCGCTGGTACCAGTCATCGGCAAGTCCACTCAGCTCCACGTCCTCCTGTACCACATCACTCCATCTCTTCTCCAGCCCGTGCCGCGCCCGTCTAGCCCCCTCGATCCGGCCGAACAAAAGCTGTTTAGGCATGCGGTGGCTGGGCATGCGGGCTACATGACCCAGCCAACGCAGCCTTGCCTGCCGGAGGAGCTCACTGATGGGACTTTGCCCAGATCTTTCAAGGATTTGTGAGCTCCTCACACAATCCAGCCTGGTTAAACCCAGGATGGATCGTAGGCAGGCCAGCCTAAATGTTTCCAACCGGCGAAGATGCTCCACCAGGGGGGTCCACGTCTCGCAAGCGTAGAGAAGGGAGGGAATGACCGTGGCCGAGAAGACCTGAAGCTTCGTGCGGAGCGACAGACCAGGTAGCTTCCACACAGCGTTACGCAACCGATGAAAAGATATTGCCGCTCGACTGATTCGGAGTGAGACCTCTGCTGATAGACTGGAGCCGGTCATAAGCACACTGCCCAGGTATGGGAAACTCTCCACTCTCTCCACAACTGCCCCATCACCAATTGGGAGTTGTGGGGGTGGAGTGTCCGATGGTACAAAATACCCAGGCAGGTGCTTGGTTTTGGTGGGGCTGATGGTAAGGCCCCACCTCTTAGTGGCACGCTCCAGTCTCAGCAGCAGCGCCTCCAACTCCTCTTCTGAATGAGCAGCTATTACCAAATCATCGGCATACATAACGTGGTTGACCAATAGGGAGCCATCCCTTGATCGCACCCGGGCGTCGATCAGCCTCCCATTATATCTGTACCAAACGGAAATTCCCCCGGTACAGCTATTGAAGGCTTCACGAACTACGCGGTCAAAATAGATGTTAAATAATGTGGGAGCCAGAGGACATCCCTGTCGCACCCCAAGGTGTACAGGGAAAGGCTCCGACTCCCGGCCACGTAGTTTTACCCGGGCCCGCTCACCATCATGAAGGTCCTTAATGATCGTGAGCAGAGGGTCAGGGACTCCGAAAGCACGAAGAACAACCCAGAGTCCAGTCCTACTGATGGTATCATAGGCCTTGACCAGGTCAATAAAGCAGAGATGTAGGTCTTTTTGGAATTCCCTACACCTCTGCTGTAGCAGACGGACAGAAAATATGGCATCTGTGCAGGACCGCCCTTTCCTGAAACCGCATTGGGGCTCCGCAAGCCCCTCCTCAGCGTGCCTAGCAAGGCGATGTTGAATAATCCTTGCCAGGACCTTACCCGGCACACTGAGGAGTGAGATGCCCCTGTAGTTGTTACAGTCTGTGCGGTCCCCCTTCTTAAAGAGGGGGACCACCAGGGCATCCTTCCAGTCCTGCGGAACCCGTCCAGTGGTCCAGACTGTTGTTATGATGTCATATAGGGCAGTCTGTGCACAAACGCCACCCTCCCTCAGCATTTCGCTTGGGAGATCATCTCTGCCCGGTGCCTTCCCTGGTCTCAGACTCCGGATCGCCCTCAGTACTTCCTCAACAGCTGGAACCTCAGCCAGCCACTCACAGGGGGTGACCTCTTCCAATATTTGAGGCACCGCAGCCTCAGCAGGGTTATCCCCACTTTGTGCCATGATGTTTTCCTGGCTGAGAGAATTTCCCTCCCCCAGGACCTCACAGAAATGCTCAGAAAATCTGCAAACCTGTTCCTGGGGGTCGGAGATTGGATCACCGTTTTTTCCTCTAATGATGGTAATAGGTGTGGCGCTGCAGGTTACTTTTTTGATGGAGTTAAATAGTGATTTGTGATCACGGGCCACTGAGGCAGACTCCATCTCCTCAGCAACCCGCGACCACCACCCATCCTTACAACGCCTTACGGCTCTCCGAACTTCCGAGCGAAGGCTGCGGTAAACCTCCTCATTCTCTGACGTGGGATGCTGTAGGCGATGAGAGTGGGCCTGTCGCTTTTTCTCAATTAACCTGAACACCTCCTCTGTCAGCCAGGGTTTCTGGGGAGGTCTGGACCGCGTACCCAAAGCAGCCATTGCAGCTGCATGAGTCACAGTCCTTAAACCTCGCCCATTTACCCTCGACATCAGGTGGAGTGGGGGACGATGCCAACCCCAGCTGCAAGCGATGATGAAATTCTCGCTTGCAACTTTCATCAGCTAACTGAGACCAGGCCACTTTTGGTTGGAATGGGATCCTGGGTGTACACCCACCACCGGAGTGGAAGAAAGGCAGGCGCATCTTACAGATGACTAGTCGATGGTCAGAGGACAGATCAGCTCCACGGTAGGTCCTGGTGTCAAGGACATGGGTTCGCATCCGCTGGTCCGTCACTATGTAGTCCAGCAGATGTTCTTGCTTGGACCCGGCATGTATCCATGATGTTGTGTGGATGCGCCGATGCCGGAAGAGCGTGTTGGTAATTACAAGCCCATGGGCTGCACAAAAATCTAGCAGCCTCCTACCGTTATTATTGAGCTGATCTGGCCCATGCCTTCCAATCACTCCAGACCAGGTGTCAGCATCATGACCAACTCGGGCATTGAAGTCACCCAACAAGATGACTCTGTCCCGAGTGGCCACTTTAGCCAGCACCTGTGACAGGAGGTCATAGAAAGCGTCTGACTCATCGGCTTTGCTTGCATCCCTCCACGGATGTTCGTCTTCGGTGGGGGCATAAGTAACCACGACCACCACTCCTCGCCTCTGGTTGATGGGAAGGCGAGCCCAAAGTATCCTGGGGCTTACAGCTTCCCACACCTCACCGCCACGCTCCCACGCCCCCTTCATTCTTTTGTTCAGAAGAAGAGCCACACCCTGTTGTTTGGCAGTCTCCTGCCCCGAGTAGAGGACTGTCCACCCCTCATGGTGGCAGGAGCCAGAACCGGTCCACCGGACCTCCTGAATGCCACAGAGATCCAGGCGGTACCGGTCCAGCTCCCGACAGAGGAGTGGCAGCCTCTCCTCCGCAGTGAGCGTTCGAACATTCCACGTGGCCATCCGCAATGGTTTTTTGTTGTTTCTGGAGGAGCCCCGAGGGTGAAAATTCAATCTCCTGGCTCCGCCAAATGGGGTTTGGCCAGGAGACGTCATAAAAGCCTGACCCCCCGGGGCCTCCGGCACAAGCTTATTTGTTACAGGTTTATGTTTAATTCGTGGTTTAGTGGTAATGAATTGAAGGTGGAGGGGTTACCAGCCCCTCACACCCGTCCAGAGCCCCCGTTTAGCCACTGTGGTGGTCACAGACGCCATGAGGGGAGAGGCCAATGGGCATTGGCCCTCCCCCCACAGCAATGTCCACGACAGTGTTGCCCGTCCGGCACCGCGAGGAGGTAGGAGGTTGTTTTGCCACACATACACACACACGCACACACACACGTACACACACACACGTACACACACACGTACACACACACACACACGTACACACACACACGTACACACAGACACACACGTACACACAACAACAACAACAACCGTCATTCGCCACTAAGTGGCTGTGACGTCACCACGACGCTTGTGCCAGGCCATGTGCACCTTGAGGCCACGTGAAGTGTCGAACGCCCGCTGGCAGGAGGTCACGGGGCAGACCCAGGTGCCACGGGTCGACTGACCGAGATGACCGAGATGACTGGCTGATGCGCCACCTGTGCCCCCTACTGTACCAACTTGCTGTGCTTGAGCCACCCGGCGCTCCGCTCGTTGTTGTGAGCGTCGCTCCTCCGCCCTTCGTTGTTGTTGGAGGGCGACTGCCTCCAACTGCCCAGTAGCGTCCTTCACGAGCCTCCTCCACTGAGGCCGATCTTGACACCGCTGGTACCAGTCATCGGCAAGTCCACTCAGCTCCACGTCCTCCTGTACCACATCACTCCATCTCTTCTCTAGCCCGTGCCGCGCCCGTTTAGCCCCCTCGATCCGGCCAAACAAAAGCTGTTTAGGCATGCGGTGGCTGGGCATGCGGGCTACATGACCCAGCCAACGCAGCCTTGCCTGCCGGAAAAGATCATTGATGGGACTTTGCCCAGATCTTTCAAGGACTTGTGAGCTCCTCACACAATCCAGCCTGGTTAAACCCAGGATGGATCGTAGGCAGGCCAGCCTAAATGTTTCCAACCGGCGAAGATGCTCCACTAGGGGGGTCCACGTTTCGCAAGCGTAGAGAAGGGAGGGAATGACCGTGGCCGAGAAGACCTGAAGCTTCGTGCGGAGCGACAGACCAGGTAGCTTCCACACAGCGTTACGCAACCGATGAAAAGATATTGCCGCTCGACTGATTCGGAGTGAGACCTCTGCTGATAAACTGGAGCCTGTCATAAGCACACTGCCCAGGTATGGGAAACTCTCCACTCTCTCCACAACTGCCCCATCACCAATTGGGAGTTGTGGGGGTGGAGTGTCCGATGGTACAAAATACCCAGGCAGGTGCTTAGTTTTGGTGGGGCTGATGGTAAGGCCCCACCTCTTAGTGGCACGCTCCAGTCTCAGCAGCAGCGTTCTCCAACTCTTCTGAGTGAGCAGCTATTACCAAATCATCAGCATACATAACGTGGTTGACCAATAGGGAGCCATCCCTTGATCGCACCCGGGCATCGATCAGCCTCCCATTATATCTGTACCAAATGGAAATTCCCCCGGACATTCCTGTCGCACCCCAAGGTGTACAGGGAAAGGTTCCGACTCCCGGCCACGTAGTTATACCCGTGCCCGCTCACCATCATGAAGGTCCTTAATGATCGTGAGCAGAGGGTCAGGGACTCTGAAAGCACGAAGAACAACCCAGAGCCCAGGCCTACTGATGGTATCATAGGCCTTGAGCAGGTCAATAAAGCAGAGATGTAGGTCTTGTGGGAATTCCCTACACCTCTGCTGTAGCAGACGGACAGAAAATATGGCATCTGTGCAGGACCGCCCTTTCCTTAAACCGCATTGGGGCTCCGCAAGCCTCTCCTCAGCGTGCCTAGCAAGGCGATGTTGAATAATCCTTGCCAGGACCTTACCCGGCACACTGAGGAGTGAGATGCCCCTGTAGTTGTTACAGTCTGTGCGGTCCCTCTTCTTAAAAAGGGGGACCACCAGGGCATCCTTCCAGTCCTGCGGAACCCGTCCAGTGGTCCACACTGTTGTTATGATGTCATATAGGGCAGTCTGTGCACAAACGCCACCCTCCCTCAGCATTTCGCTTGGGAGATCATCTCTGCCCGGTGCCTTTCCTGGTCTCAGACTCCGGATCGCCTTCAGTACTTCCTCAACAGATGGCACCTCAGCCAGCCACTCACAGGGGGTGACCTCTTCCAAAATTTGAGGCACCGCAGCCTCAGCAGAGTTATCCCCACTTTGTGCCATGATGTTTTCCTGGCTGAGAGATTTTCCCTCCCCCAGGACCTCACAGAAATGTTCAGCAAATCTGCAAACCTATTCCTGGGGGTCGGAGATTGGATCACCGTTTTTTCCCCTAATGATGGTAATAAGTGTGGCGCTGCAGGTTACTTTTTTGATGGAGTCAAATAGTGATTTGTGATCGCGAGCCACTGAGGCAGACTCCATCTCCTCAGCAACCCGCGACCACCACCCATCTTTGCAGCGCCTTACGGCTCTCTGAACCTCCGAGCGAAGGCTGCGGTAAACCTCCTCATTCTCTGACGTGGGATGCTGTCGCTTTTTCTCAATTAACCTGAACACCTCCTCTGTCAGCCAGGGTTTCTGGGGAGGTCTGGACCACGTACCCAAAGCAGCCATTGCAGCTGCATGAGTGACAGTCTTAAACCTCGCCCATTTACCCTCGACATCAGGTGGAGTTGGGGACGATGCCAATCCCATCTGCAAGCGATGATGAAATTCTCGTTTGCAACTTTCATCAGCTGAGACCAGGCCACTTTTGGTTGGAATGGGGTCCTGGGTGTACACCCACCACCGGAGTGGAAGAATGGCAGGCGCATCTTACAGATGACTAGTCGATGGTCAGAGGGCAGATCAGCTCCACGGTAGGTCCTGGTGTCAAGGACATGTGCTCGCATCCGCTGGTCCATCACTATGTAGTCCAGCAGATGTTCTTGCTTGGACCCGGCATGCATCCATGATGTTGTGTGGATGCGCCGATGCCGGAAGAGCGTGTTGGTAATTACAAGCCCATGGGCTGCACAAAAATCTAGCAGCTTCCTACCGTTGTTATTGAGCTGATCTGGCCCATGCCTTCCAATCACTCTGAACCAGGTGCCAGCATCATGACCAACTCGGCCATTGAAGTTACCCAACAAGATGACTCTGTCCCGACAGGAGGTCAAAGAAGACTTCTGACTCATCGGCTTTGCCTGCATCCCTCCACGGATGTTCGTCTTCGGTGGAGGCATAAGTAACCACGACCACCACTCCTCGCCTCCGGTTGATGGGAAGGCGAGCCCAAAGTATCCTGGGGCTTACAGCTTCCCACACCTCACCGCCACGCTCCCACGCCCCCTTCATTCTTTTATTCTAAAGAAGAGCCACACCCTGTTGTTTGGCAGTCTCCTGCCCCGAGTGGAGGACTGTCCACCCCTCAAGGTGGCAGGAGCCAGTGCCGGTCCACCGGACCTCCTGAATGCCACAGAGATCCAAGCGGTACCGGTCCAGCTCCCGACAGAGGAGTGGCAGCCTCTCCTCCACAGTGAGCGTTCGAACATTCCACATGGCCATCCGCAATGGTTTTTCGTTGTTTCTGGAGGAACCCCGAGGGTGAAGATTCAATCTCCTGGCTCCGCCAAATGGGGTTTGGCCAGGAGACGTCATAAAAGCCTGACCCCCCGGGGCCTCCAGCACAAGCTTATTTGTTACAATTATTTGTTTATATCGTAGTTTAGTGGTAAATAATTGAAGGTGGAGGGGTTACCAGCCCCTCGCACCCGTCCAGAGCCCCCGTTTAGCCACTGTGGTGGTCACAGACGCCATGAGGGGAGAGGCCAATGGGCATTGACCCTCCCCCCATAGCAATGTCCACGACAGTGTTGCCCGTCCGGCACCGCGAGGAGGTAGGAGGTTGTTTTGCCACACACACACACGTACACACACACACGTACACACACACGTACACACACACACACGTACACACACATGTACACACACACACACGTACACACACACGTACACACACGTACACACACACACACACGTACACACACGTACACGAGGGCACGCCTCCTTCACAAGACGATGGTGACGTTGACGCGCGTGAGCAGCGCTCCGGGGAAAGTGACGTTCAGGGAGCGTTGAAGCGTCCTCATCTGCAACAGAGACACAGAGAGACAGAGAGACACAGAGAGAGCGACACAGAGAGACACACAGAGAGAGACACAGAGAGACACAGAGAGACATAGACAGAGATAGAGAGACACAGAGACAGAGAGAGACACGGAGAGACACACAGAGAGAGACATAGAGAAACACAGCGAGGCACAGAGACACAGAGAGACACAGAGAGACACAGACACACAGACAGAGAGACACAGAGAGACAGAGACACACAGACACAGAGAGACACAGAGAGACACAGAGAGACACAGAGAGACACAGAGAGAGCTCACGTTGGAGGACGTTGGCGAACACCACCACCCCCACCACCATCACCAGCACCACCACCACCACCACTACCATCACCACTACCACCACCAGCACCATCTCCACCACCTCCACCCACACCACCATCACCACCACTACCACCACCATCACCACCACCACTACTACCACCATCTCCACCACCTCCACCCCCACCACCATCACCACCACCACCACTACCACCACCATCACCACCACCACCACTACCACCAGCATCACCACCACTATCACCACCCCCATCACCAGTATTGTGATCTCACCAAGATTGTGACCTCACCGGGATTGTGACCTCACCAGGATTGTGATCTCACCAAGATTGTGATCTCACCAGGATTGTGATCTCACCAAGATTGTGATCTCACCAGGATTGTGATCTCACCAAGATTGTGATCTCACCATGATGGTGATCTCACCAAGATTGTGATCTCACCAAGATTGTGATCTCACCAAGATTGTGATCTCACCAGGATGGTGATCTCACCAAGATTGTGATCTCACCAAGATTGTGATCTCACCAGGATTGTGATCTCACCAAGATTGTGATCTCACCAGGATTGTGATCTCACCAAGATTGTGATCTCACCATGATGGTGATCTCACCAAGATTGTGACCTCACCAGGATTGTGATCTCACCATGATGGTGATCTCACCAAGATTGTGATCTCACCAGGATTGTGATCTCACCAAGATTGTGATCTGACCAGGATTGTGACCTCACCAAGATTGTGACCTCACCAGGATTGTGATCTCACCAATATTGTGATCTCACCAAGATTGTGATCTCACCAAGATTGTGATCTCACCAGGATGGTGATCTCACCAAGATTGTGATCTCACCAAGGTTGTGACCTCACCAGGATTGTGGTCTCACCAAGATTGTGATCTCACCAGGATTGTGACCTCACCAGGATTGTGACCTCACCAAGATTGTGATCTCACCAGGATTGTGACCTCACCAGGATTGTGACCTCACCAGGATTGTGACCTCACCAGGATTGTGACCTCACCAAGATGGTGATCTCACCGGGATTGTGACCTCACCGGGATGGTGACCTCACCAGGATGGTGACCTCACCAGGATGGTGACCTCACCAGGATGGTGATCTCACCGGGATGGTGATCTCACCAGGATTGTGATCTCACCAAGATTGTGATCTCACCAGGATTGTGACCTCACCAAGATTGTGACCTCACCAGGATTGTGATCTCACCAATATTGTGATCTCACCAAGATTGTGATCTCACCAAGATTGTGATCTCACCAGGATGGTGATCTCACCAAGATTGTGATCTCACCAAGATTGTGACCTCACCAGAATTGTGATCTCACCAGGATTGTGATCTCACCAGGATTGTGACCTCACCAGGATTGTGACCTCACCAGGATGGTGACCTCACCATGATTGTGACCTCACCAGGATTGTGACCTCACCAGGATGGTGATCTCACCAAGATTGTGACCTCACCAGGATTGTGACCTCACCAGGATTGTGATCTCACCATGATGGTGATCTCACCAAGATTGTGATCTCACCAGGTTCGTGATCTGCATCTCGGCGTCCGACAGGGAGACATTTCCATCGGCCTCGAACCGCATTTGGAAGTAGAACTTCCTGGCTGACGAACGAGACAGCAGAAGGTTGCGTGATTGTTGATGCTGGCAGTGTAAAGTCACGTGGGTAGAAAATAAACGAAATTAAATCACGACGTTTCGGGCACAACACAAGCGTCCGTCATCAGAGGGGCTGGGTGGGGAGGGTGGGGAGGGGCTGGGTGGAGAGGGGCTGGGTGGAGAGGGTGGGGAGGGGCTGGGTGGGGAGGGTGGGGAGGGGCTGGGTGGAGAGGGGCTGGGTGGAGAGGGTGGGGCTGGGTGGGGAGGGGCTAGTTGGGGAGGGTGGGGAGGGGCTGGGTGGGGAGGGTGGGGAGGGGCTGGGTGGGGAGGGGCTGGGTGAGGAAGGTGGGGAGGGGCTGGGTGGGGAGGGTGGGGGGTGAGAGGGGGGGGGGCTGGGTGGGGAGGGGCTGGTCACCCCGTGGTGCCCTTATAAAACTCAACGTTTAACCTACTCACGATGTTGAGGTTGGTGATGTGGTTGATGGTGGTGTTGTTGATGAGAGGGGTGTTGTCGTGGTTGTTGTTGATGCTGATGAGGGTGTTGGCGAGGGTGGCTCTCGTGATGATGCCACGGTCAGTTGTGGACTTGCATGAAGCAACGCTGATGATGGTTGTGATGACGATGATGGTTGTGATGACGATGGTGGTTGTGATGATGATAGTTGTGATGATGATGGTTGTGATGATGATGGTTGTGATGATGATGGTTGTGATGACGATGGTTAGGATGATGATGCTGATTATGGTGACGACGTTGATGATAATAGTTGTGATGATGATGGTTGGCGATGTTGATGATGATGGTTGGGATGACGATGTTGATGATGTTGATGATGATGGTTGTGATGATGATGGTTGTGATGATGATGGTTGTGATGATGATGGTGGTGATGATGATGGTTGGTGATGATGATGTTGATGATGATGGTTGTGATGATGATGGTTGGTGATGATGATGTTGGTGATGATGATGGTTGGTGATGATGATGTTGGTGATGATGATGTTGGTGATGATGATGGTCGTGATGATGATGGTTGTGATGATGATGATTGGTGATGATGATGGTTGGTGATGATGATGGTTGGTGATGATGATGGTTGGTGATGATGATGGTTGGTGATGATGATGGTTGTGATGATGATGGTGGTTGTGATGATGGTTGTGATGATGATGGTTGTGATGATGATGTTGGTTGTGATGATGCTGCTGATGTTGGTGACATTGATGATGGTTGGTGATGATGATGGTTGTGATGATGATGATTGGTGATGATGATGTTGGTGATGATGATGGTGGTGATGATGATGGTGGTGATGATGATGTTGGTGATGATGATGGTCGTGATGATGATGGTTGGTGATGATGATGGTTGGTGATGATGATGGTTGGTGATGATGATGGTTGGTGATGATGATGGTTGTGATGATGATGGTTGTGATGATGATGGTGGTTGTGATGATGGTTGTGATGATGATGGTTGTGATGATGATGTTGGTTGTGATGATGCTGCTGATGTTGGTGACATTGATGATGGTTGGTGATGATGATGGTTGGTGATGATGTTGGTGACGGTGACAACGACGTTTATGATGGGTGGGATGATGATGTTGATGATGTTGATGATGGTTCAGATGACGGTTGAGATGACGATATTGATGATGACAGAGATACGAGCGTGGTGGCGCGTGCCGCTGATGCAAACGTTGAATCACCTTGCGTCGAAGCTGTTGCTGTCTGCCCAGCTGTTGCGGGTGGTCCAGATGCTGTTGTCGATAGAGCTGTTGTTGTTGTTGTTGCTGCCACTGTTGTTGTTGTTGTTGCTGCCGCTGTTGTTGTTGATGCTCCGGTGACGGTGGCGGCTCTGGTCGTGCGGGCAACCGCTGTCGTGGTCGCAGCGAATGTTGGTGGGAGCGGAGCTGTCGGTGTCTGGGTTGTGTTCCACACGGGGTATGATGGTGACGTTCTCGCTGAAGCAGTTTGGGGTTGGGGTGTTGGTGGTGAGGGTGACGTCGTTGGAGGTGATGATGGAGATGTTTGTGTTGATGTGATTTGGGGTTGGGGTGTTGATGGGAAGGGAGTCGTTGTTGGAGGTGATGATGGAGATGTTTGTGTTGATGTGATTTGGGGTTGGGGTGTTGATGGGAAGGGAGTCGTCGTTGGAGGTGATGATGTAGGTGTTTGTGTTGATGTGATTTGGGGTTGGGGTGTTGATGGGGAGGGAGTCGTTGTTGGAGGTGATGATGGAGATGTTTGTGTTGATGTGATTTGTGGTTGGGGTGTTGATGGGGAGGGAGTCGTTGTTGGAGGTGATGATGGAGATGTTTGGGGTGATGTGATTTGGGGTTGGGGTGTTGATGGGAAGGGAGTCGTTGTTGGAGGTGATGATGGAGATGTTTGTGTTGATGTGATTTGGGGTTGGGGTGTTGATGGGAAGGGAGTCGTTGTTGGAGGTGATGATGGAGATGTTTGTGTTGATGAGATTTGGGGTTGGGGTGTTGATGGGAAGGGAGTCGTTGTTGGAGGCGATGATGGAGATGTTTGTGTTGATGAGATTTGGGGTTGAGGTGTTGGTGGGAAGGGAGTCGTTGTTGTAGGTGATGATGTAGATGTTTGTGTTGATGTGATTTGGGGTTGGGGTGTTGATGGGACGGGAGTTGTTGATGGAGGTGATGATGTAGATGTTTGGGGTGATGTGATTTGGGGTTGGGGTGTTGATGGGAAGGGAGTCGTTGTTGGAGGCGATGATGTAGATGTTTGGGGTGATGTGATTTGGGGTTGGGGTGTTGATGGGAAGGGAGTCGTTGTTGGAGGTGATGATGGAGATGTTTGGGGTGATGTGATTTGGGGTTGGGGTGTTGATGGGAAGGGTGACGTTGATGGAGGTGATGATGGAGATGTTTGTGTTGATGTGATTTGGGTTTGGATGTTGATGGGAAGGGAGTCGTTGTTGTAGGTGATGATGGAGATGTTTGTGTTGATGTGATTTGGGGTTGGGGTGTTGATGGGGAGGGAGTCGTTGTTGTAGGTGATGATGGAGATGTTTGTGTTGATGTGATTTGGGGTTGGGGTGTTGATGGGAAGGGAGTTGTTGTTGGAGGCGATGATGGAGATGTTTGTGGTGATGTGATTTGTGGTTGGGGTGTTGATGGGAAGGGAGTCGTTGTTGGAGGCGATGATGGAGATGTTTGTGGTGATGTGATTTGGGGTTGGGGTGTTGATGGGAAGGGAGTCGTTGTTGGAGGCGATGATGGAGATGTTTGGGGTGATGTGATTTGGGGTTGGGGTGTTGATGGGAAGGGAGTCGTTGTTGTAGGTGATGATGGAGATGTTTGTGGTGATGTGATTTGGGGTTGGGGTGTTGATGGGAAGGGAGTCGTTGTTGGAGGTGATGCTGTAGATGTTTGGGGTGATGTGATTTGGGGTTGGGGTGTTGATGGGAAGGGTGACGTTGATGGAGGTGATGATGGAGATGTTTGGGGTGATGTGATTTGGGGTTTGGATGTTGATGGGAAGGGAGTCGTTGTTGTAGGTGATGATGGAGATGTTTGTGTTGATGTGATTTGGGGTTGGGGTGTTGATGGGAAGGGAGTCGTTGTTGTAGGTGATGATGGAGATGTTTGTGTTGATGTGATTTGGGGTTGGGGTGTTGATGGGAAGGGAGTTGTTGTTGTGGGTGATGATGGATATGTTTGTGTTGATGTGATTTGGGGTTGGGGTGTTGATGAGAAACGTGACGTTGTTGGAGGCGATGATGGAGATGTTTGGAGTGATGTGATTTGGGGTTGGGGTGTTGATGGGAATGGTGACGTTGTTGGAGGCGATGGTGGAGATGTTTGGAGTGATGTGATTTGGGGTTGGGGTGTTGATGGGAAACGTGACGTTGATGGAGGCGATGATGGAGATGTTTGTGGTGATGTGATTTGGGGTTGGGGTGTTGATGGGAATGGTGACGTTGTTGGAGGCGATGATGGAGATGTTTGGAGTGATGTGATTTGGGGTTGGGGTGTTGATGGGAAACGTGACATTGTTGGAGGCGATGATGGAGATGTTTGGAGTGATGTGATTTGGGGTTGGGGTGTTGATGGGAATGGTGACGTTGATGGAGGCGATGATGGAGATGTTTGTGGTGATGTGATTTGTGGTTGGGGTGTTGATGGGAATGGTGACGTTGTTGGAGGCGATGATGGAGATGTTTGGAGTGATGTGATTTGGGGTTGGGGTGTTGATGGGAATGGTGACGTTGCTGGAGGTGATATTGTTGTAGGTTGTGTTGATGTAGGTGGTGGTGGTGTTGTGGAAGGTGGTGGTGTTGATGTAGGTGGTGATGTTGTTGAAGATGGTCGTGTTGTTGAAGGTGGTGTTGATGGTGTAGGTGTTATTGTTGTTGTTGTAGGTGGTGTTGATGTAGGTGGTGTTGTTGTAGGTGGTGGTGTTGTTGTAGGTGGTGTTGTTGTAGGTGGTGTTGTTGTAGGTGGTGGTGTTGTTGTAGGTGGTGTTGTTGTAGGTGGTGTTGTTGTAGGTGGTGGTGTTGTTGTAGGTGGTGGTGTTGTTGTAGGTGGTGGTGTTGTAGGTGTTGTTGTTGTAGGTGGTGGTGTTGTTGTAGGTGGTGGTGTTGTTGTAGGTGTTGTTGTTGTAGGTGGTGTTGTTGCAGGTGGTGTTGTTATATTTATTGTTGTTGTAGGTGGTGGTGTTGTTGGAAGCGGTATTATTGTTGCTGTAGGTGTTGTTGTATTTGTTGTTGAAGGTGGTATTGTTGTTGTAGGTGATGGTGTTGTAGGAGATGTTGTAGGTGGTTGTGGTGTTGTTATATTTGTTATTGAAGGTGTTGTTGTTGGTGTAGGTGTTGTTGATGAAAGTGTTGTTGATGTAGGTGTTGTTGTATTTGTTGTTGAAGGTGGTATTGTTGTTGTAGGTGATGGTGTTGTTGGAGATGTTGTTGTAGGTGGTTGTGGTGTTGTTATATTTGTTATTGAAGGTGTTGTTGTTGTTGGTGTAGGTGTTGTTGTAGGTGTTGTTGTATTTGTTGTTGAAGGTGGTGTTGATAGTGAAAGTGTTGTTGCTGTAGGTGTTGTTGTATTTGTTGTTGAAGGTGGTATTGTTGTTGTCAGTGATGCTGTTGTAGGAGATGTTGTTGTAGGTGGTTGTGGTGTTGTTGTATTTGTTGTTGAAGGTGTTGTTGGTGTAGGTGTTGTTAATGAAAGTGTTGTTGCTGTAGGTGTTGTTGTATTTGTTGTTGAAGGTGGTATTGTTGTTGTCAGTGATGCTGTTGTAGGAGATGTTGTTGTAGGTGGTTGTGGTGTTGTTGTAGTTGTTATTGAAGGTGTTGTTGTTGGTGTAGGTGTTGTTAATGAAAGTGTTGTTGTTGTAGGTGTTGTTGTATTTGTTGTTGAAGTTGGTATTGTTGTTGTAGGTGATGGTGTTGTAGGAGATGTTGTTGTAGGTGGTTGTGGTGCTGTTATAGTTGTTATTGAAGGTGTTGTTGTTGTTGGTGTAGGTGTTGTTGTATTTGTTGTTGTATTTGTTGTTGAAGGTGGTATTGTTGTTGTAGGTGATGGTGTTGTAGGATATGTTGTTGTAGGTGGTTGTGGTGTTGTTGTATTTGTTGTTGAAGGTGTTGTTGTTGGTGTAGGTGTTGTTGATGAAAGCGTTGTTGCTGTAGGTGTTGTTGTATTTGTTGTTGAAGGTGGTATTGTTGTTGTAGGTGGTGGTGTTGTAGGAGATGTTGTTGTAGGTGGTTGTGGTGTTGTTGTATTTGTTGTTGAAGGTGTTGTTGTTGGTGTAGGTGTAGTTGATGAAAGTGTTGTTGCTGTTGGTGTTGTTGTATTTGTTGTTGAATGTGGTATTGTTGTTGTAGGTGGTGGTGTTGTAGGAGATGTTGTTGTAGGTGGTTGTGGTGTTGTTCTATTTGTTGTTGAAGGTGGTATTGTTGTTGTTGTAGGTGATGGTGTTGTATTTATTGTTGTGGAAGGTGGTATTGTTGTTGTCGGTGGTGGTGTTGTAGGTATTTGTGTTGTTGGAAGCGGTGTTGTTGTTGTATTTGTTGTTGAAGGTGTTGTTGATGGTGTAGGTGGTGGTGTTGTAGGAGATGTTGTTGTAGGTGGTTGTGGTGTTGTTGTATTTGTTATTGAAGGTGTTGTTGGTGTAGGTGTTGTTAATGAAAGTGTTGTTGTTGTAGGTGTTGTTGTATTTGTTGTTGAAGTTGGTATTGTTGTTGTAGGTGATGGTGTTGTAGGAGATGTTGTTGTAGGTGGTTGTGGTGCTGTTATAGTTGTTGTTGTTGGTGTAGGTGTTGTTGTATTTGTTGTTGTATTTGTTGTTGAAGGTGGTATTGTTGTTGTAGGTGATGGTGTTGTAGGATATGTTGTTGTAGGTGGTTGTGGTGTTGTTGTATTTGTTGTTGAAGGTGTTGTTGTTGGTGTAGGTGTTGTTGATGAAAGTGTTGTTGCTGTAGGTGTTGTTGTATTTGTTGTTGAAGGTGGTATTGTTGTTGTAGGTGGTGGTGTTGTAGGAGATGTTGTTGTAGGTGGTTGTGGTGTTGTTGTATTTGTTGTTGAAGGTGTTGTTGTTGGTGTAGGTGTAGTTGATGAAAGTGTTGTTGCTGTTGGTGTTGTTGTATTTGTTGTTGAATGTGGTATTGTTGTTGTAGGTGGTGGTGTTGTAGGAGATGTTGTTGTAGGTGGTTGTGGTGTTGTTCTATTTGTTGTTGAAGGTGGTATTGTTGTTGTTGTAGGTGATGGTGTTGTATTTATTGTTGTGGAAGGTGGTATTGTTGTTGTCGGTGGTGGTGTTGTAGGTATTTGTGTTGTTGGAAGCGGTGTTGTTGTTGTATTTGTTGTTGAAGGTGTTGTTGAATGTGTAGGTGGTGGTGTTGTAGGAGATGTTGTTGTAGGTGGTTGTGGTGTTGTTGTATTTGTTATTGAAGGTGTTGTTGGTGTAGGTGTTGTTAATGAAAGTGTTGTTGTTGTAGGTGTTGTTGTATTTGTTGTTGAAGTTGGTATTGTTGTTGTAGGTGATGGTGTTGTAGGAGATGTTGTTGTAGGTGGTTGTGGTGCTGTTATAGTTGTTATTGAAGGTGTTGTTGTTGGTGTAGGTGTTGTTGTATTTGTTGTTGTATTTGTTGTTGAAGGTGGTATTGTTGTTGTAGGTGATGGTGTTGTAGGATATGTTGTTGTAGGTGGTTGTGGTGTTGTTGTATTTGTTGTTGAAGGTGTTGTTGTTGGTGTAGGTGTTGTTAATGAAAGTGTTGTTGCTGTAGGTGTTGTTGTATTTGTTGTTGAAGGTGGTATTGTTGTTGTAGGTGGTGGTGTTGTAGGAGATGTTGTTGTAGGTGGTTGTGGTGTTGTTGTATTTGTTGTTGAAGGTGTTGTTGTTGGTGTAGGTGTAGTTGATGAAAGTGTTGTTGCTGTTGGTGTTGTTGTATTTGTTGTTGAATGTGGTATTGTTGTTGTAGGTGATGGTGTTGTAGGAGATGTTGTTGTAGGTGGTTGTGGTGTTGTTATATTTGTTATTGAAGGTGTTGTTGGTGGTGTAGGTGTTGTTGTATTTGTTGTTGAAGGTGGTATTGTTGTTGTAGGTGATGGTGTTGTAGGAGATGTTGTTGTAGGTGGTTGTGGTGTTGTTGTATTTGTTGTTGAAGGTGGTATTGTTGTTGTAGGTGATGTTGTTGTAGGAGATGTTGTTGTAGGTGGTTGTGGTGTTGTTGTATTTGTTGTTGAAGGTGTTGTTGTAGGTGTAGGTGTTGTTAATGAAAGTGTTGTTGTTGTAGGTGTTGTTGTATTTGTTGTTGAAGGTGGTATTGTTGTTGTAGGTGGTGTTGATGGTGTAGGTGTTATTGTTGTTATTGTAGGTGTTGTTGTATTTATTGTTGTTGAAGGTGGTGTTGTTGTTGTCGGTGGTGGTGTTGTAGGTATTTGTGTTGTTGGAAGCGGTGTTGTTGTTGTAGGTGTTGTTGTATTTGTTGTTGAAGGTGGTGTTGATGGTGTAGGTGGTGGTGTTGTATGTGTTGTTGTATTTGTTGTTGTAGGTGGTATTGTTGTTGTAGGTGATGGTGTTGTAGGAGATGTTGTTGTAGGTGGTTGTGGTGTTGTTGTATTTGTTGTTGAAGGTGGTATTGTTGTTGTAGGTGATGGTGTTGTAGGAGATGTTGTTGTAGGTGGTTGTGGTGTTGTTGTATTTGTTGTTGAGGGTGTTGTTGTTGGTGCAGGTGTTGTTGATGAAAGTGTTGTTGCTGTAGGTGTTGTTGTATTTGTTGTTGAAGGTGGTATTGTTGTTGTAGGTGTTGGTGTTGTAGGAGATGTTGTTGTAGGTGATTGTGGTGTTGTTATAATTGTTATTGTAGGTGATGTTGTTGCTGTAGGTGTTGTTGTATTTGTTGTTGAAGGTGGTATTGTTGTTGTAGGTGATGGTGTTGTAGGAGATGTTGTTGTAGGTGGTTGTGGTGTTGTTGTATTTGTTGTTGAAGGTGGTATTGTTGTTGTAGGTGATGGTGTTGTAGGAGATGTTGTTGTAGGTGGTTGTGGTGTTGTTGTATTTGTTATTGTAGGTGTTGTTGTTGGTGCAGGTGTTGTTGATGAAAGTGTTGTTGCTGTAGGTGTTGTTGTATTTGTTGTTGAAGGTGGTATTGTTGTTGTAGGTGGTGTTGATGGTGTAGGTGTTATTGTTGTTATTGTAGGTGTTGTTGTATTTATTGTTGTTGAAGGTGGTGTTGTTGTTGTCGGTGGTGGTGTTGTAGGTATTTGTGTTGTTGGAAGCGGTGTTGTTGTTGTAGGTGTTGTTGTTGTATTTGTTGTTGAAGGTGGTGTTGATGGTGTAGGTGGTGGTGTTGTATGTGTTGTTGCAGGTGGTGGTGTTGTTGTATTTGTTGTTGTGGAAGGTGGTGTTGTTGTTGTAGGTGATGGTGTTGTTGTTGTAGGTGACGGTGTTGTATTTGTTGTTGAAGGTGGTGTTGGTGTTGTTGTTGAAGGTGTTGTTGATGTTGTAGCTGATGTTGGTGATGGAGCTGATGTTGGTGATGGAACTGGGGTTGTTGTTGGAGCTGCTGTTGTTGTTGTTGCTGTTGTTGAAGCTGCTGTTGTTGTTATAGCTGCTGTTGTTGTTGTTGCTGTTGTTGTTGGAGCTGCTGTTGTTGTTGGAGCTGCTGTTGTTGTTGGAGCTGCTGTTGTTGTTGGAGCTGCTGTTGTTGTTGGAGCTGCCGTTGTTGCTGTTGTTGTTGGAGCTGCTGCTGTTATTGGAGCTGTTGTTGTTGTTGTTGGAGCTGCTGTTGTTGTTGGAGCTGTTGTTGTTGGAGCTGCTGTTGTTGTTGGAGTTGCTGTTGTTGGAGTTGCTGTTGTTGGAGCTGCTGTTGTTGTTGGAGCTGTTGTTGTTGTTGGAGCTGCTGTTGTTGTTGGAGCTGCTGTTGTTGGAGTTGCTGTTGTTGGAGCTGCTGTTGTTGTTGGAGCTGCTGTTGTTGTTGGAGCTGCTGTTGTTGTAGCTGCTGGTGATGTTGGAGCTGCTGTTGTTGCTGCAGCTGTTGTTGATGTGTTGGTAGGAGTGCTATAAGCTGCTGCGACTTGTCCCTGTGTTGTCGCCAGCGATGGCATCATGTTTGGTTGTGTTGATGTTGTTGCTGCTGCTGCTCCTGCAGTGTTTGGTGGTGGCGTGGTGTTTGTAGTTGTTGTGGAAAGCACTGCTGATATTGTTGTTGTTGTTGTCGTCCGTGTTGTTGTTGTTACTACTGATGGAGTTGCTGGCACTGTTGCTGATGATCTGGTTGTTGAGATTCCTGTAAGACATTGAAAGTAAATCACCACAATTCACACTATTCACTACACCACTATTCACTACACCACTATAGACTCCATTCACTACAGCACTGTTAACAATTGTCAATATATACACAAACACTTATGTAATAGTCACCACTTATACCAGTGTAAATATACACACACTCACTTATATAAGTGTTTTTTTGTGAATTATATAAGAGCGTGTGTTTAAGTGTATATAATGTTTATATATGCGTGTGAATATACAAGTGTATGTATGTGCATGTATGTGTGTGTATATGTGTATATATATGTGTGTGTATATATGTCCGGAAAAAACAACCCCCTACCTCCTCGCGGTGCCGGACGGGCAACTCTGTCGTGGACAGTGCTGTGGGGGGAGGGCCAATTCCGATTGGCCTTACCCCTCATGGCGTCTGTGACCACCACAGTGGATAAACGGGGGCTCTGGACGGTGCGAGGGGCTTGTAAACCCTCCACCTTCAATTCATTAACACGAAATTACGAAATAAACATAAATATGTAACTAATAAGCTTGTGCCGGAGGCCCCAGGGGGACAGGCGTCTATGACGTCTCCTGGCCAAACCCCAATTGGCAGAGCCAGGAGATTGAATATTTGCCCTCGGGGCTCCTCCAGAAACAAAGAAACGCCACTACTGATGGCTCTTCTTCTGAACAAAAGAATGAAGGGGGCGTGGGAGCATGGCGGTGAGGTGTGGGATGCTGTAAGCTCCAGGCTACTTTGGGCTCGCCTTCCCCATCAACCGGAGGTGAGGAGTGGTGGTCGTGGTTACTTATGCCCCCACCGAAGGCGAACATCCGTGGAAGGATGCAGGCAAGGCCGATGAGTCACATGTCTTCTATGACCTCCTGTCACAGGTGCTGGTTAATGTGGTGGCCCCTCGGGATAGATTCATCTTGTTGGGTGACTTCAATGCCTGAGTTGGTCATGATGCTGGCACCTGGTCTGGAGTGATTGGAAGGCATGGGCCAGATCAACTCAATATCAACGGTAGGAGGCTGCTAGATTTTTGTGCAGCCCATGGGCTTGTAATTACCAAAACGCTGTTCCGGCATCGGCACATCCACACAACATCATGGATGCATGCCGGGTCCAAGCAAGAACATCTGCTAGACTACATAGTGACAGATCAGCGAATGCAAGCCCATGTCCTTGACACCAGAACCTACCGTGGAGCTGATCTGCCCTCTGACCATCGACTAGTCATCTGAAAGATGCGCCTGCCATTCTTCCACTCCAGCGGTGGGTGTACACCCAAGACCCCATTCCAACCTATAGTGGCCTGGTCTCAGCTGATGAAAGTTGCAAGCGAGAATTTCATCATCGCTTGCGGCTGGGGTTGGCATCGTCCCCCACTCCTCCTGATGTCGAGGGTAAATGGTCGAGGTTTTGGACTCTGACTCATGCAGCTGCAATGGCTGCTTTGGGTACGCGGTCCAGACCTCCCCAGAGACCCTGGCTGACAGAGGAGGTGTTCAGGATGGTCGAGAAAAATGCGACAGGCCCACTCTCATTCGTCTACAGCATCTCACGTCAGAGAATGAGGAGGCTTACCACAGCCTTCGCTCGGAGGTTCAGAGAGCCGTGAGGCGCTGCAAGGATGGGTGGTCGTCGCGAGTTGCTGAGGAGATGGGGTCTGCCTAAATGGCCCACGATCACAAATCCCTAATTAACTCCATCAAAAAAGTAACCTGCAGCGCCACACCTATTACCATCATTAGGGGAAAGAACGGTGATCCAATCTCCAACCCCCAGGAATAGGTTTGCAGATTTGCTGAGCATTCTGTGAGGCCCTGGGGGAGGGGAATTTCCTCAGCCGAGAAAACATCATGGGACAAAGTGGGGATAAACCTGCTGAGGCTGTGGTGCCTCAATTATTGGAAGAAGTCACCCCCTGTGAGTGGCAGGCTGAGGTGCCATCTGTTGAGGAAGTACTGAAGGTGATCCAGAGTCTGAGACCAGGAAAGGCACCGGGCAGAAATGATCTCCCAAGCGAAATGTTGAGGGAGGGTGACGTTTGTGCACAGACTGCCCTATATGACATCATAACAACAGTTTGGGCCACTGGACAGGTCTCGCAGGATTTAAAGGATGCCCTGGTGATCCCCCTCTTTAAGAAGGGGGACCGCACAGACTCAATTACAGGGGCCTCTCACTCCTCAGTGTGTGGGGAAAGGTCCTGGCAAGGATTATTGAACATCGCCTTGCTAGACACGCTGAGGAGAGGCTTGCGGAGCCCCAATGCGGTTTCAGGAAAGGGTGGTCCTGCACAGATGCCATATTTTCCATCCGTCTGCTACAGCAGAGGTGTAGGGAATTCCAACAAGACCTACATCTCTGCTTTATTGACCTGGTCAAGACCTATGATACCATCAGTAGGCTTGGGCTCTGGGCTGTTCTTCGTGCTTTCAGAGTCCCTGACCCGCTGCTCACGCTCAAGGACCTTCATGATGGTGAGCGGGCCCGGGTAAAACTACGTGGCTGGGAGTCAGAGCCATTCCCGTACACCTTGGGGTGCGACAGGGATGTCCTCTGGCTCTCACATTATTTAACATCTATTTTGACCACGTAGTTCGTGAAGCCTTCAATAGCTGTACCGGGGGAATTTACATTTGGTACAGATATGATGGGAGGCTGATCGATGCCCCGGTGCGATCAAGGGATGGCTCCCTATTGGTCAACCACGTTATGTATGCCAATGATTTGGTAATAGCTGCTCATTCAGAGGTGGAGTTGGAGACGCTGCTGCTGAGACTGGAGCGTGCCACTAAGAGGTGGGGCCTTACCATCAGCCCCACCAAAACTAAGCACCTGCCTGGGTATTTTGTACCATCGGACACTCCACCCCCACAACTCCCAATCGGTGATGGGGCAGTTGTGGAGAGAGTGGAGAGTTTCCCATACCTGGGCAGTGTGCTTATGACCGGCTCCAGTTTATCAGCAGAGGTCTCACTCCGAATCAGTCGAGCGGCAATATCTTTTCATCGGTTGCGTAACGCTGTGTGGAAGCTACCTGGTCTGTCGCTCCGCACGAAGCTTCAGGTCTTCTCGGCCACGGTCATTCCCTCCCTTCTCTACGCTTGCGAAACGTGGACCCCCTTAATGGAGCATCTTCGCCGGTTGGAAACATTTAGGCTGGCCTGCCTACGATCCATCCTGGGTTTAACCAGGCTGGATTGTGTGAGGAGCTCACAAATCCTCGAAAGATCTGGACAAAGTCCCATCGGTGAGCTCCTCCAGCAGGCAAGGCTGCGTTGGCTGGGACATGTAGCCCGCATGCCCAATCAAAGCATGCCCAAACAGCTTTTGTTCGGCCGGATTGAGGGGGCTAAACGGGCAGGGTCAGGGGCTAGAGAAGAGATGGAGTGATGTGGTACAGGAGGACGTGGAGCTGAGTGGACTTGCCGATGACTGGTACCAGCGGTGTCAAGATCGGCCTCTGTTGAGGAGGCTCGTGAAGGACGCTACTGGGCAGTTGGAGGCAGTCGCCCTCCAACAACAACGGAGTGCAGAGGAGCGACGCTCACAACAACGAGCGGAGCGCCGGGTGGCTAAAGCACAGAAAGTTGGTACAGTAGGGGGCACAGTTGGTGTATCAGCCAGTCATCTCGGTCATCTCAGTCAGTCGACCAGTGGCACCTGGGTCTGCCCCGTGACCTCCTGCCAGCGGGCGTTCGACACTTCACGTGGCCTCAAGGTGCACATGGCCTGGCACAAGCGTCGTGGTGACGTCGCCGCCACTTAGTGGTGAATGGCGGTTGTTGTTGTGTGAGTGTGTGAGTTAGTGTATGAGTGAGTGAGTGTGTGAGTGTGTGAGTGAGTGAGTGTGTAAATGTGTGTGTGTTAGTGTGTGAGTGTGTAAGTGTGTGTGTTAGTGTGTGTGAGTGTGTGTAAGTGTGTAAGTGAATGAGTGTGTGTGTGAGTGAGTGTGTAAGTGTGTGTAGGTGTATAAGTAAGTGAGTGAGTGTGAGTGAGTGTGTGAGTGAGTGTGGCATGTGTGAGTGTGGCGTGTGTGTGTATGAGTTTGTGAGTGAGTGAGTGTGAGTGAGTGAGTGTGTGAGTGAGTGTAAGTGTGTGTGTTTAAGTGAGTGTGTAAGTGAGCGTGTGAGTGTGTAAGTGTGTGTAAGTGTGTAAGTGAGTGTGTTAGTGTGTGTGAGTGTGTGTGTGTTAGTGTGTGAGTGTGTGAGGGAGTGTATAAGTGTAAGTGGGTGTGTGTGAGTGGGTGTGTAAGTGTCTGAGTGTATGAGTGAGTGTGTGTGAATGTGAGTGTGTGAGTGTGTAAGTGAGTGTTTAAGTGAGTGTGTAAGTGAGTGTGTGAGTGTGTAAGTGTGTGTGAGTGTGTGAATGTGTGAGTGTATGAGTGAGTGTGTGTGTGTGAGTGTGTGTGTGAGTGTGTGTGACTGTGTAAGTGAGTGTAAGTCTGAGTGTGTGTAAGTGTGTGTGTGAGTGTGTGAGTGTGTGTGAGTGTGTGTGAGTGAGTGTGTGAGTGTGTTAGTGTGTGTAAGTGTGTGATAGTGTGTGTAAGTGTGTGTGAGTGTGTAAGTGTGTTAGTGTGTGTGAGTGTGTGAGTGTGAGTGTGTAAGTGAGTGTAAGTCTGGGTGTGTGTGAGTGTGTGTGTGTAAGTGAGTGTGTAAGTGTGTGAGTGTGTGTGAGTGTGTGAGTGTAAGTCTGAGTGTGTGTAAGTGAGTGTAAGTGTGTGTAAGTATGTAAGTGAGTGTGTGAGTGTATTAGTGTGTAAGTTTGTGTGTTAGTGTGTGAGTGTGTAAGTGTGTTAGTGTGTGTGAGTGTGTAAGTGAGTGTAAGTGTGTGTTAGTGTGTGTAAGTGTGTGTGTGTGAGTGTGTAAGTGTGTAAGTGAGTGTAAATCTGAGTGTGTGTAAGTGAGAGTGAGTGTGTAAGTGTGTCTGAGTGTGTGTAAGTGTGTCTGAGTGTGTGTGCAGGGTCACCTGCTGTCGCCATTGCGTCACCAGTACCGACCCGTGCCACGAGGAGTCCCCATCCGCACAGCAGCGTCCAGGCCCAGGTTCGACTCCCCGCCCGGGAGACCCCCACGCACCACATCGCTGACTCCTCCTCGCTCCCTCGCTCGCTCACCTCGTCCCCTCCGTCCTCACCACCTCCTCCTCCTCTTCCTCCTCCTCACCACTCACCTCCTCTTCCTCCTCCTCCTCTTCTTCGTCGTCTTGCGCCGGAGCTCACGGCTGGGCACGTTCCGCTGCGACATGAAACCGACACCACGAACATCGCCGCTTGCTGTGATTCACCGCAGAGTCTCGGAGCGTCGTTGTCAGGAGGCTCCTGCCCAGGTGCTGCTTGCTGCTGTGTGAGTCTGGCCTAGGGGCACCCCCAGCGGCAGCTGCCCCTGTGCATCAGTCTGTCAGTAGGAGGTGGCGATGCTGCTGCTGCTGTGAGATCCCAGTCGAGGGGTTTGTTGCAGGGAATTGTTGAGCAGTGGGGGGGGGGGGGGTGTGGATGTGGCCGCTACCAGTTCCACTGTGGGTGTGGGTTTAGCTGTGGGAGGGGAGCGGAGAGCCTGGAGGGTGCCATGCAGAGCAGGGGGAGATCACTCACTCACACTCACTCACTTACACTCACTCACACTCACTCACACTCACTCATTCACACACTCACACTCACTTACACTCACTCATTCACACACTCACACTCACTTACACTCACACGCACTCACTCACACTCACTCACACTCACTCATTCACACACTCACACTCACTCACACTCACTCATTCACACACTCACTTACACTCACACGCACATCACTCACACTCACTTACACTCACTCATTCACACACTCACACTCACTTACACTCACACGCACTCACTCACACTCACTCACACTCACTCATTCACACACTCACACTCACTCACACTCACTCATTCACACACTCACACTCACTTACACTCACACGCACTCACTCACACTCACTTACACTCACTCATTCACACACTCACACTCACTTACACTCACACGCACTCACTCACACTCACTCACACTCACTCATTCACACACTCACACTCACTCACACTCACTCATTCACACACTCACACTCACTTACACTCACACGCACTCACTCACACTCACTTACACTCACTCATTCACACACTCACACTCACTTACACTCACACGCACTCACTCACACTCACTCACACTCACTCACTTACACTCACTCACACTCACTCACACTCACTCATTCACACACTCACACTCACTTACACTCACACGCACTCACTCACACTCACACTCACTCATTCACAACACTCACACTCACTCACACTCACTCATTCACACACTCACACTCACTTACACTCACACGCACTCACTCACACTCACTCACACTCACTTACACTCACTCATTCACACACTCACACTCACTTACACTCACACGCACTCACTCACACTCACTTACACTCACTCATTCACACACTCACACTCACTTACACTCACACGCACTCACTCACACTCACTCACACTCACTCACTTACACTCACTCACACTCACTTACACTCACTCACACTCACTTACACTCACTTACACTCACACGCACTCACTCACAACTCACTTACACTCACTCATTCACACACTCACACTCACTTACACTCACTTACACTCACTCACACTCACTTACACTCACTCACACTCACATCACTCACACTCACTCACACTCACTCACACTCACTCATTCACACACTCACACTCACTTACCACTCACACCACTCACTCACACTCACTCACACTCACTCATTCACACACTCACACTCACTCACACTCACTCATTCACACACTCACACTGCACTTACACTCACACGCACTCACTCACACTCACTCACACTCACTTACACTCACTCATTCACACCTCACACCTCACTTACACTCACACGCACTCACTCACACTCACTCACACTCACTCAAGTCACACACTCACACTCACTCACACTCACTCATTCACACCACTAACACTCACTACACGCACACGCACTCACTCACACTCACTCACACTCACTTACACTCACTCATTCACACACTCACACTCACTTACACTCACACGCACTCACTCACACTCACTTACCTCACGCATTCACACACTCACACTCACTTACACTCACACGCACTCACTCACAACAATCAACACTCACTCACTTACACTCAACACTCACTCACACTCACTCACTTACACTCCACTCACTCACTTACCTCACACTCACTCACTCTCACTCACACTCACTCATTCACACACTCACACTCACTCACACTCACTCACTCACACTCACTCACACTCACTCACTTACACTCACACTCCTCCACTCACTCACTTACACTCACACTCACTCACTTACACTCACTCACACTCACTCCCTCACACTCACTTACACTCACACTCACTCACACTCACTCACTCACACTCACTCATTCACACACCACACTCACTCACACTCACTCACTCACACTCACTCACACTCACTCACTTACACTCACACTCACTCACACTCACTCACTTACACTCACACTCACTCACTTACACTCACTCACACTCACTCACCACACTCACTTCACTCAACTCACTCACACTCACTCACTCACACTCACTCACTTACACTCACACTCCCACTCATTACACTCACTCACACTCACTCACACTCACTCACTCACACTCACTCACTTACACTCACACTCACACTCACTCACTTACACTCACTCACACTCACTCACACTCACTCACTCACACTCCTCACTCACACTCCACTCACTCACTCACACTCACACTCACTCACTCACACACTCACTCACACTCACTGAAACTCACTCACACTCACTCACTCACACTCACACTCACTCACTCACACTCACACTCACTCACTCACACTCACTCACACTCACTCACACTCACTCACTCACACTCACTCATCACTCACACTCCTCACTCACACTCACACTCCTCACTCACTCACACTCACTCCACACTTACACTCACTCACACTCACTCACACTCACCACACTCACTCACTTACACTCACACTCACTCACACTCACTCACTCACACTCACTCACTCCACTCACCTCACTCACACTCACACTCACTCACTCACACTCACACTCACTCACTCACACTCACTCACATCACTCACTCACTCACACTCACTCACTCACTCACACTCACTCACTCACTCAACTCCTCACCCTCACACTCACTCACTCACACTCACACCACTCACTCACACTCACAGAAACTCACTCAACTCACTCACTCACACTCACTCACTCACACTCACACTCACTCACTCACACTCACAGAAACTCACTCACCTACTCACTCACACTCACAGAAACTCACTCAACTACTCACTCACTCACACTCACACTCACTCACTCACACCACCCACTCACTCACCTCACTCACTCACTCACACTCACTCACACTCACTCACTCACACTCACTCACTCACACTCACACTCACTCACACCACTCACACTCACTCACTCACACTCACTCACACTCACTCACACTCACTCACTTACACTCACCACTCACTCACACTCACTCACTTACACTCACACTCACTCACTCACACTCACTCACACTCACTCACTCACACTCACTCACTCACACTCACTCACTCACACTCACTCACTCACACTCACTCACACTCACACTCACTCACTCACACTCACACTCACTCACTCACACTCACACTCACTCACTCACACTCACTCACACTCACAGAAACTCACTCAACACTCACTCACTCACACTCACAGAAACTCACTCACACTCACACTCACTCACTCACACTACACTCACACTCACTCACACTCACTCACTCACTCACCTCACTCACATCACACTCACACTCACTCACTCACATCACTCACTCACTCACTCACACTCACTTACACTCACTCACTCACTCACACTCACTCACCACTCACTCACTTACACTCACACTCACTCCACACTCACTCACTCACTCACACTCACTCACTCCACTCACTCACTCACTCACTCACACACTCACTCACTCACTCCACTCACACTCACTCACACTCACTCACTCACACTCACTCACTCACACTCACACTCACTCACTCACACTCCACTCACACTCACTCACACTCACTCACACTCACTTACACTCACTCACTCAACTCACTCACCACACTCACACTCACTCACTCACACTCACACTCACTCACTCACACTCACTCACACACACTCACTCACTCACACTCACTCATCACTCACTCACATCACTCACTCACACTCACTTACACTCACACTACCACACTCACTCACTCACACTCACTACACTACACTCACACTCACTCACTTACACTCACACGCACTCACTCACTCACACTCACTCACTCTCACTCACTTACACTCACACTCACTCACACTCACACACTCACTCACACTCACTCACACTCACTCACTCACTTACACTCACACTCACTCACACTCACTCACTCACACTCACTCACACTCACTCACACTCACCTACAACAACGTTCCGCTGCGACATGAAACCACCACCACGGACATCGACGTTTGCTGAGCCTGGTTCAACCCAGGATGGATCGTAGGCAGGCCAGCCTAAATGTTTCCAACCGGCGAAGATGCTCCATTATGGGGGTCCACGATTCGCAAGCGTAGAGAAGGGAGGGAATGACCGTGGCCGAGAAGACCTGAAGCTTCGTGCGAAGCGACAGACCAGGTAGCCTCCACACGGCGTTACGCAAACGATTAAAAGATATTGGCGCTCGACTGATTCGGAGTGAGACCTCTGCTGTTAAACCGGAGCCGGTCATGAGCACACTGCCCAGGTATGGGAAACTCTCCACTCTCTCCACAACTTCGCCATCACCGATTGGGAGTTGTGGGAGTGGAGTGTCCGATCGTACAAAATACCGAGGCAGGTGCTTAGTTTTGGTGGGGCTGATGGTAAGGCCCCACCTCTTAGTGGCAAGCTCCAGGTTCAGCAACAGCACCTTCAACTCCTCCTCTGAGTGGGCAGCAATTACCAAATCATTGGCACACGTAACATGG